TACATATAGGAAAGTGTCACAAATTCCTATAGGAAAAAGTTCCTACAAGCCGAGAATCGACCCCCAGGTCAACTGCAACTTGAATGAGGTAAATAAGGACATAGATAAATCCTTGCTTAGCGGTCTCGTATGGTAAACGGATGGATCTAAAACTAACAAGGGAACAGGCTCTGGCTTACATGGAGTTAAACCCAAATGCGACATCACTGGAAAACATACTACTGTATCTCAGGCTAAAATACTTGCAATAGAATTTATAAAATTTTTCGCGGGGCCCACCTAGAAAATTGTCCTATATTTTGACAATATTGAAGTTTTTATAAATAAGTTACTTCGTGGAAGATTGCGTGTGAAATACATTTTTTGTGTTTGTCAATATTGAGAAAATATCGTAATCAAGTTTAGGTCTTCACGAGACTCACGAATTTAGTGATTTCTCGTTCTCATCTCATCTCGATTTTTAATTCGAGACGAGATCGAGACAAGAATTTTATTTATTTTGACACAAGTTCGAGAAAAAACATTCTACACATGAAAAAAGTGTTAGCTCGTGCCGCATGTAACGCGCACCTTTATCAGCTTGGAAGACGACCTTTGTTGTATTGTATCGATGGAAGACTATTATTTTTTAGCTTTCTTATTACAAAAATAAGTATCACACTAAATTTCAGCTTTGCGAATATAATTTTTTTTTTCATTTTTTTTCTTATTTTGGCAAAGAATACCTACCCAAGAAGCGAAACTAAATGGGGCGATTCGTGGACAAAAAACTGCCAAGTTTTCTCAGTGTTTTAGAGGTGGTTTAACGTCAAATATAGCTGTCACTTATGTAGAGCAACGTTTGGTATATTATTATTAGCGTTTTGTGAAAATTGCGGTACTCTTTAAGTAGTTGTATTTAACTAAGTAGTAATTAGAAAGTTTTAAAATTTGTATTACACGAAAACAAAAAATACATTGCTTTATTCGTAAATTTTATTGAACGTTTTTGCATCTGGCTGTCAATGTTTTTTTTTTTTTAATTTCTAAATCAGTATTACCTATAATGATAATTTTTATTTAAATATGTTATTTTTTTGTTTTTCAAACCATTGGAATTAAAACAGTAAATAAACAATAATTAAAATATATGAGAAACTCACTTCGAGGAACCAAGTCGCTGCTATCAGAATACAATCGAAATGCATTTACAGCTATCTACAGTACTTCTAGATATGTAACGTGTAGAGGGTGCTATATCCCACGGCACTTACGCCTCACTAGGCCCATTGTGTATCCTCCTAAAATGATAGGCATCTCTTAGCTCGTAAGCCAGCCTACAGATTTAATGTAGTTGACAACGTCGTCAAAAGGTGCTTCTCTTATATCGGCCGGTGTTAGCCAATACTCGCCGAAAACAAATCTTTTAATAAATGAGAGCGACTGACAATCGTAGAGGATATGTTCAATGCAATGATCTCATCTTTTTGTTCGCACCCCCTGCAGGGTGCGGATTCTGACAGCCCCATTATGTGGAGATGCTTCCGTACTTGGCAATGACCAGTCAGAATGCTTGTGATCAGACGCAGATTTTGTCTAGTCGTAGTCAAGTATTTGTTTGTTGTAGTGTTGTCAGGATAACTTAAAAGCTCCCTAGTAATTCAGCAGTTTCTTGTTTCATCCCATCTTTCCTTCAATTTCACAAGAGAATATTCTTTAATTAGGTATATGACACTACCGATGTTGTCAGTCCAATAGAAGAGTTAGGTCCAAAAAGGATTTGTTTGGCCGCCTTCTTGGATGGTAAATCAGCAATAAGGCTACCTTTCGATGTGGCATTTTAAGGTGACCACTTTGTTGGATGGATACTCTTGCCAAATCTTCGTGGCATTTTAGTACTAACCCTGAGTAAATTCGTAGTCTGTTCAGGGTAAGTAGTGTTCATCTGCTATCTGTATAGATAAGCATGTTCCTACCAGTGATCTTGTTTCTGATGATTTTTTTACTGCTATGAGAATCTCCATGAGCTCCATGAACTACATTAACACTATTGCTTTATGTTGAGATTTAAGTAATTGGAGTATATTCCACATCCTGAGCATTGTTTTGTTTTAGAACCGTCGGTGTAGACATAAATTGTACCTGCCACTTCCGGCTCTTCTATTTGTTCTGTTATAACTTCATATGGCTTGTGCAATATATATATCGCGGAGAGATGAAGTTCAGTTCGCCTGAAGCAGTGGGAGCGTATCGAGCGCCTTTTGCCAAAAGCGACGTCTCGCCTAACCAGATCATACATCAAGTTCTATTCCAACCGTGCAGAAGAGTGCCATTGTCATCCGAGCAACCTCTTTGATGTAAATATTAAGGGGAGTGAGACTAAGAACTACTTCCATGTCTCTGGTTGGTGTGGTTTTCATGGCTCCTGTTATATTGAGACATGCTGTTATTTGAATTTGTTCTATTGTATTCTATATTGCGGATAGCTGTTAATTTTTGTATTTTCGGTACCCAGACAACTGCACCGTATGTTAGCATAGGTCTTATGATAGCCATGTAAGTCAACGTGACGACTGTGGGGGAGAAACCGCAGGTGCGCCTCACGGTTCAGTGGAATTGTTTATAAGTAATGTATGCTCTTTTGAAGTGTGAATTCCATGTTAACTTGTTATCAAAGGTGCTCCCAGGTACTTCACCTTTGTTGCAAAGTTTTGTTTCGTATTTAGGTTTAGGTGTAGGTTTTAATTCCATTTTCATCCTTTTCCTTGTGATAAGAATTATTTCTGTCTTCTTGGGATTGATAAAGTGAATGGTCTTTGCACCACTGTTCCATAATTGTTCTCAAAATTCCCAATTTGCAGAATGACTAGGTCATCTGCTTTCGCTATTGTGTATTATTGTACCTACAGTACTTATTTCGTTATTAAAATAATCTATTTGACATAATGAACATAGTCTGTCTGTCATTGTTACTTTAGTATGTGTTTAATTCTTATGAACCAAACGACAAAAACTAATTAATGTTCATACGTTTCCCAGTGTATTAAGTTCCCTTGCTTTGGTACATACGAAAACTCATTCAGTTTCGCTTCTTGGGATTGATAAAGTGAATGGTCTTTGAACCACTGTTCCATAATTGTTCTCAAAATTCCCAATTTGCAGAATGACTAGGTCATCTGCTTTCGCTATTGTGTATTATTGTACCTACAGTACTTATTTCGTTATTAAAATAATCTTTTTGACATAATGAACATAGTCTGTCTGTCATTGTTACTTTAGTATGTGTTTAATTCTTATGAACCAAACGACAAAAACCAATTAATTTTCATACGTTTCCCAGTGTATTAAGTTCCCTTGCTTTGGTACATACGAAAACTCATTCAGTTTCGCTTCTTGGGTAGGTATTCTTTGATTTGGGTGGATGGAAGACTTTGTCATGAAATTCAGGTGAAAGACGATATTTTTTAAACTTTATTTGTTTAAATTAACGTGTACAACAAGTTTCATGCATGCGGAAATGATTTTTTTTTGTAATTTTTTTACTGTATTTGCAATCCTCCTGCAACCCTCTGTCGTAAGGATGCGTCGGAAGACGTACATATTAGAGTGACATACTACTTGCATAATTCATATAAAAAAATTAAACTTGTGAAAATGACACGGAAATTTCTGTCGTTACCTCCCGGTCTAAAAGAATTGAATAAAAACGTTTTGTTTTCTTAGCAACGATAATATTGTCGTAAAAAAGAAGTCAAAAATAATTCATTTTTAACGTGTTTTTGCATTTTCTACTAATTAAATGAGTGATTCGGAAAGTTTGCCATCTGATATTGAAGAACAAGCTTTAAATATGTTACTTTAGATTGTGACAATAATTTGTTATCAAATTTTAATAGATTTTGACTTTGATCGATTGAAAAGCAGTGAGATGTGCATTAATAAACTTCTTATCTCACACAGAATGAGTGGGATAAGAAGTTCTTATCTCACGGGCGTAGATAAAATTATGCATTTAATCAATAGGTACTAAGAGTGGAAAAATAAATTGCAGAGAAATATAATAGTATATTATTTAACGAGCGGTGATGCAGGTCATAACTCACGCATCAAGTGATTTATGACCATTACCGCAAGTTGAATACTATACTTTATCTACGACTATAACAATAAATACTAAGTTACAAATATCGAGAAAGAATTATATAATTGACTAGATGATAAAAACGTTTGAATCTTTGTAAAAGCTATTACCTTTGTGGCCAGATATATTTCTCACCAGGAGCTTTATTTATGAAATTTTTAAGTTGTTCTGGCGTAATGTTTTTGCCTTTTTAGCTATATGTTTTTCTGATTGACGTTTAAGAAACGCAGGTAATTTTGAATAATTCTCTATATTAATTCCATTATTTATGTTGAGTGTGCTTCTTAGCAAGAAGTAGAAGGTCCATAGAGACGATGCTTTATATTTATTGCTAAGTTCATTAAAATATGCCAAAGGTACATTTTCTGTAAACAAGTTACACCAATCTTGAAAATTTTAGTATACACATTTATACTTTTTTTATTTTTCTGGTAAAAAATTCTGTATTGCATTATTAGCCATCTCTCTTATTTCTGGAGGTGTACATAATAACTCATCTTCACTATCTAAATTCATCTTTTTTTAGCACTAATTTGAAAACGTCAAAATTATCTTGTTAAAATAACAAATGACATTACTCCCCTCAATCCTCAATGTAATAATTGACTGTTTCCACCTACTGAGAGGCATTGACAATTTAATAATTTTAAAATCTTTTAATTATTCATTCCTTTCTTTGTTAAAAAATATTTCTAACATTTTATGCCAATGGAACATTTATCGACTTTAAAATTTCCAAGAGTTTACTGTGCACACTATTTATATACCGAATTATCATAGGAGCCCAGCATGAGTTATAATAACTCACTATTAAAACTCACGCTATTTGTTTATTGATACTATTAATTGCTCTAAAGCAGTTGAATAATTAATATATAAATTAATAGGAGTAGAAAAAAGTATTTTATTTACTTATAAAACATAAAAGAATATTAAAAAAATATATTAATCATCATCTTCAGAATCATCATTATGTGTTTCTAAATACTGTGTTATCTGCGACTGCAATTTGCTATCCTGAACCAAATCAGACATTTTCAACTGGTTACTACTACAACCTATGTAAGGACATTTAGCCTTAGCCTTCATTTGTCTAATGTAATCAGATATGGTTTCAAATTCATAGACGTGCCCACATTTTCGACTTTTGTAAGCATTCTTCACCACCACTTTACTAATGGGATCCAATGGAGGAGAGAAAATGTTAGAACACATAAGGGAATCACTTAATTCTTCATACTGAGACTCATGAAGTTTTTTCTTCTTTTTATGAATCTCTTGTACATCGGTTGCACCTAGAAATAAATAAAATATGATCATATTGAATCAACAATAAATTTATAATTTCTACACTGGGAAAAAAGAAAAAAAAAACAATACCCTATTACCTTCAAAAACTGCTTGCCAAACACGGGTATCGTGATAATGATTAACAGACGGTTCTGGAAGACTATCATAACACTCTCGATATAAACCATCTACATCTTCACAAGGTTTTTCTTTTTCTTCAAGCTTTTCGTCCAATTTTTGTAGGGCTGCCTTTGTTTTTTCACAATCTATTTCAATTTGACCGTATTCTTCGACGTATTTTTGTAAAACATTTAATTGACCGTTTTTTTCATTTTCCTTGTTTTCATCATTGTCGTATTCATCATCATATATGTCCACTATTAATTTTTTCCAAGATTGTAACGATTTTGTAACCTGTTCTAAAGTATCTTCGCTTTTATATAATGACATATTTGCACTAAATTAAAAGCAAGAAGCAAGTATCTTAAAATATTATCACAGAGCGTTTAATAGAATAAAAAAAGACTATTTTTTAAAAGTTTATATTTTTGAAAATAAAATTGAATGCTGTCAACTGTAAAGATTTTTGTCTGTAGCTAACTTCAGGCATGACACTAGCAAATACAAGGAGCGAGCATTGATATTATTTTACACCCTTGCCATATTTACTCAACATAAGCGACTGGCTTTCAATTAAGAATCATGAAAAATTGTATAACTTTTTTTTTTTAAATTAATGTTATAGGATGACTAGAGACAAAGAAAAATATTTTTATAATTTTGACATATAAAGTGAAATTTTTTTAAATCGCTGCAAGTATCAAAATGATCTAGATTTACGCAACTAGTTGCATAATGTTGAACAATATGAAACTGTTTACAAAAAATTCATTATGTCTCCAGTTGCGAAAAGAAAACAGTTAAACATAAACCGTTTTTTTGGTTTTAAAATCAATATATACAATATTATTGAAAGTTTATATCAAAGAAGGACAGGTTGACTTATAAAAATAGAATTTGGTTAAACGTACAAGTTAGTAATAATGTTGTTGTAGTCCTTATTTTCCATTCTAAATCAGCACAAACTAATTAAACGCAATACATGACAAAATAACCCACTTTCTTAAAAACTAAATAACTTTATTAACAAGCAATATAATCACACAAAAAGTCATTTGAGAATCAATTAATATGATTATCTATTTGGTTGTCTAGATATATGTCAGTAATCTTTTACCGAAACACAATTTTATAATCTAGTCAAGATTAGAAAAAAAAATATTGTTTGTAAACGTTACAAAATGCCGTTTTATATAACTTGTTCATGTTGCGGGACCTCGCTCTGCTCGACCCGCAAATATTCACTCGTTACATTCCATAAAATAAGACATTTTATAACTGGTCGTATAAGTAACTATTATATGAAATAAGAAAGCTTAAGTGTAAGGGGTTAAAGAAATAAGGTCCTTTATTTCTCACAAATAAAGGACCTTTTCTTTAACCCCTTACACTTAATCCCTACTACTCACATATGGCTACCCTCACTCCAAATAAGAAAGCGTCTGCACAATTATCTCCACTACGACTCCTACTATGCAAAAAATGAAGTATCAAGAAATGAGTGAATAATGATTTTAGAAGTAAATTAATTAAGTACCCAAGTAATTTGTTCATTGCAGAAAAAGCAGAACACTTCGAATTTTGGAACAATCTGGCAATTCTATCGCACTTCGTATTTGATCGTATCATTTCGGAACTCGCTCTACGATAAATGCTAGATTATAATAAAATTTCTTCTTTTTGAAGGTATCTTACTACTCGTAACATTGGACACCTTTTTATTTATTTATTTATTTATTTTGAGAATTAATGAAAAATTAATTATTAAATTTAAAAGGTAAACTTTTTGGATCATTGACATAGTTATATTCTTATCATAACATTTATTGCTATTATATTAAATGGTCTTTACTTTCATTAATATTCAGCTGCGACATTTGGCTTTGATTTGACACTGACAATAAGACCATTAAGCGATTTTGACATTTATATACTTTGCTTTTGCGAACAATTTCGGATACTCCGCCTTTTACAGCCACAATATCTGCAAATTCTATTGATTATTCTGTCTAAAATGATGATAACTTTTTGAGGGAGGATTCTAGCTATAAGATTACAAGAAAATTGTAATGTGTAACTAATAAAATTTATTAACAAACAAGGTAGTATGAAAACGAGTGAAATTTTAACGAACCTTTATCGATATTTGTGTTTTTAGTTATCATGTCAGCTGCTGGAACCCCTTCAACTGACCCCTGGGTGATTCTGGCCAGGGAAAGAGCCAGATATGAAGAACAATTCAGGTCTTTAAAACCTACTAATGGAATAATAACCGGAGATCAAGCAAAGTCATTTTTATTACAATCACAGCTACCGCCTTTGGTTTTGGGGCAGATATGGTATGTTTAGTTGTGTTTTTAGAAATTTTGAAATGATATTTATAATGTTAATGTTTATTTAAGATCTTCAATAGTATTATAATATGTTTCATATATAGGGCGTATCTGGATACATTAATAGTAATAAAATGAATGCAGTTAAATATTACTCAGCTTGAACAAAATCTTAATTATTTATTACTATTAAATGTATTTGGAGTGATTTACTTGAACATAAATTATTTAATTTCCATTTGGGATCATTAGTTATTGTTCTTAATGATATTGAAGATAGTTTCCAATACAGTAATGTTATACTTTTGCTGAGGATGGCCATTAAGTGTCAGTGATTGTTATCTCCTACAAAGTGATATTAATTCCCTGCATGACTGGTCTGTGAATATTATTGTATGTCAATATTAATAAGTGTTGCACAGTTGCTTTTGGTAGAGAACATGACAAAATTGTATTGATTATTTAATGGCTGATATAACTCTTAAACAGATTTATGGCTGCTCTTAGATCAGCATCTATCATTTGTTCCTCATACCCCTTATGCAATAAATAAAGCTTTCAAAAACGAAAACAGGCTTCAATACTGTATACTGTGAATGTTCAGGAACAATTGATACAAAGGAAAAAAATATGTATAGGATGGGAAAGACTTCCGGTTTATGAATATTTGGAGATACCCAGATGTTTTAAATGTCAAGGTTTCTACCATAAAAAAGAAAACTGTAAGAATGCAATCATGTGCCACATCTGTACAACTACAACCATTCTGCACTAGATTTGACTTGTCCCTCTTTGAAATATCATCAAATGGTATTGCAAAATAAAACCAAGTATACAGATCAATAACATAATGTAACTAATATTTCTACACACATTCAAATAGTTCATGATTATTAATCAAGAAAATAATCTAATAAATTCTATTCAAATTGATTCGATGCTGCTAATATAACAAATAAAATTAATTTAAATGAAAAACTCCTAAATGTCTTACATTTCAATATTAGGAGCATTAAAAAGAATTTTGATGAGTTGTTAGTATTTCTAGAAAGTTATAAAATTAATTATTGTGATATAATAGTTTTGACTGAATGTTTCCAATTAGAATCTATTTCTCAATTTAACCTAGATGGCTTCACCACCCACTATAACAATGGTAACATTAACAGAAATGATGGTGTTGTAATTTTGGTCAGGTCAAATCTAATGCAGAATTAAATATAGTTCTGGAATATTCTGATATTTGTGTCACTAAAATAAATCTAAAAGTCAATCATCAGACCATTGGCATTACAGGTGTATACAGGTCTCCTCTAAAACCTCTGCACAAGCATTTATAAGGGATTTACAAAATTTCATACCAAATTACCTAAATAGAAATATTGTAATATTCATAGGGAACATTAATATTGATCTCCTAAATGTAACCAATCAAGTAACTACTGATTACCAAGCAACTTTTTACTCCCATGGTTTCATGTCTTACATAAACACTATTACGAGGCCACAAAGTAACACATGCTTGGATCATATATTCTTAAAAAACAATATTAAGACTGAAAATCTATCGGTGAACTCTTATGTAATCAGCTATATGACTGATCATAATCCTATTATGATAAATATCTCACAATTTGCCAAAAACTACACAAGTTCCTACAATACATATAAAACTATAACTAAAATCAATACTGATAAATTAAAACAAAAATTCGAAACTGTAAACTTGGAAAGTGTTTGCAATGAAAATAATCCAGAAATTGCAACACAACTTTTTTATGACATGTATCTTAATATCATTGAAACATGTCAAACCACTCAAAATATTAAAATTAAAATCCATAAAAAAATAAAGCCATGGATAACAAATGGTTTAATTAATTCTATTAAAACTAGGGATAAACTTAAAACATTTAGATATAATTTAAACAAACTAATATCAAAAACTAAAAATGAGTATTATAACAATAAAATAAACCAAAACAAAACTGATCTGAAAAAAACTTATCAATTAATCTCTGAAGCAACTAATGAAAATCATAAAAAAAATAATACCAATTTACAGATTGTTAACCAACATAATGAGGAATTTGAAAATGATAATGAAATGGCGAATTACTGCAATAACTACTTTTCGACTATTGGCACTAATATGTTCACAAATATCCCTGAATGTAATGTGGATTTTCCTGTAAGTATCACTGAAAAATGAATGTTTCTGAAACCGATATGCGAAAATGATATAAAACACATAAATAGTTTAAAAAACAATAGTGCCCCGGAATTTTATTGTATAACAGTAAAACATCAGAAACTACTACATCCATATTTACTGGAACCTTTAATGCATATAATTAATTGTATTTTTAATACAGGAATCGTACCTAAACATTTAAAACTTCAATTATAACACCTATTTATAAAGCTGGTAATCCAAAATTAATAACTAACTATAGGCCTATTAGTTTAATTAGTAGTGTGGCCAAAATATTTGAAAAATGTGTGAAAGATAGACTGACAGATTTTTTAAAAACTAATGACTTACTTCCCAAGCACCAATATGGCTTTACTGAGGGTCTTAACTCAGGAGATGCTATGCATGAATTGATTTTATATGTTACTGATGAAATGAATACTGGTAACAAGTGTATAGCTATATTTCTAGATCTAGCAAAAGCATTTGACACAGTGCCACATCAGAAGCTCTTAAATAGAATGGAGTGAGGGTCATCATGTTGAAGGTTTTTGAAAATTATTTGACACACAGACAACAGAAGGTAAAGGTCAGAGACAATGTGATTAACCCTAAAAATATACAAATCGGAGTGCCTCAAGGGACTGTTCTGGGACCTATACTATTTAATTTATACATTAAGAGCTTAACTCAGATTGATATTCAAGGTAAAGTTGTATCATATGGTGATGATACAGTGCTAGTCTTCAGTGATAAAGATTGGGAAGCTATCAAGACAGGTGCTATAGCTGGAATGGAACATGTCAAAAATTGGCTGGATGTTTTTAAATTGTTTTTGAATGTTAACAAAACTAACTACATTGCTTTTTCAAAGTCAGTGGCTGATCGACCTCAATTTAGAAACTTAACATGTCAAAATTTAGACATACAGGAAACAAACATCCAAATATTTAGGTATAATTATAGACCAGCACTTAAAATGGGACTGCCATGTAATATATATAGCAAAAAAACTTAGATTTCTGATTTATAAATTTTATCTTCTAAAACAATTTCTCAACCAGGATTTACTAATAACATTATACTACAGTCTAGTAGAATCTATACTACGGTATGGAATCTTAGTATGGGGAGGCCTGTATGAAACTACATTAAATTAGTTAAATGTTATACAAAACAAAATCTTGAATATATAAAAGAGATAGATTGTCCCACCATAACTTTATATATTGAAAAAATTAGCATTGTTAGAAGTTTATATATTCACACAGTGTGTTGTTATACACAAAAAAATGAATTTTTAAAAACCCTTTAGAACATAGACATAACATTAGAACTAACAGTGCTGTTCCTAAAGTGGCGCTGGGAAACAGTAACAAAGCCTACACAGAACACGAGGCTAATGGCCTTAGTAGTTGATGCCGATGACACCAAATAAAAAAAAAATACTAGAACTGCATCGAACATGTGCATTAAAGTACCAAAACCAAATAGTGAGTTTTTTAAAAACAGTGTAAATTATCTAGGGACAAAGTTCTATAACGCTCTACCTCTTCATATAAAATTATTAATAAACAAATATAAAAAAATCTGTAAAGTTAGCAAAATATACATTTTCCAAAATAATTCAAAGTTTATCAGAATATTCCAAAAATAACGGACTTAATACATGGATTTTTTTAAATAGTTTTTTCTGTATCTTGCATAGATTGTTCAAGTTTTATTTTTTATTTAAAAAAATTTTTATTTTCTTTATAATTCATTAAATATAATTAAAATAAAATTTTAATTTTTGTCAGCACATACAGGTGTTCTCACCTAGGTGCTTGTTATTATATAATTGGTTTCCATTATTGTACTTTATTGTAACTTATTTATTATTGTAACTCATTGTAACTTAACTATTAAACTATTAAAAAAAACCTTAGGTTTTATTTTAAGGAATTCGAACAATCTCTCATTGAATTCCATTAAAACAGTTTACAAAGCTTTATTTGGAATATGGGTCAGTTTGTTCTCCATTTTATGATGTACATAATTTGGGTCATTGAAGTCTGTTCAATAGAAATTTCTGAGATATTGTGCATTCAGATTAGATTTAGTATTTGGCATCCACGATTATAATGTTTTATTAAACTTAATGAATCTTGATTGTCTAGAATTTGTTTTATGTTCTTTATTATTTTTGCATAAAGTAAATTCAGTAATTTCAACAAATAATAAAGAAACCTGAAGCATTTTTCAAATTTTTGTCAAAATATTTTACTCTAATTATAATGTTTTTCTACAGAGACTATTAAGTTTTGGTAAATCAAATATTAAGGTATTCTCTCATTGGTTAAAAATATTTCTATATAGATATCGATTCTGGTGTTGCTAAATAAAAGACCCTTCTTTACAGGGCCTTGGCAGACACGGATGCCGACGGAAAGATGAACATTGAAGAGTTTTCCATCGCTTGCAAGCTGATTAACCTAAAACTAAGAGGCTATGACGTTCCTAAAGGCCTCCCTCCTTCATTATTAGCTTCTCTAAAAGTACACACCCCTCCCGCTATTCCTCCCCTTCCCAACGCAGCACTCATTAACCCCCCTTCACGTCCAGAACCACCCAAAGTTGCGCCTATGATGGCTCCCCAAGGGTTCATGGTTCCTGGTCAATCTCCATTGGTTCCAGGACTTGGCGGTCAAGTTCCTGTCGGCATTCCTGCAAGCGCCGGTCCGATGGGCGGGATTCAAACAGGCATTGTTCCACCTACAGTTACTCATATGAGAAATATTGGAGGAGTTTCGGACATACCTACAGGTAAGTCCTTTTTCAGCTATATATCTAAATAATTTTAGAAAAAAAAGTTTTCAACCAAAATTTATTAAAACTACCCGTAGATTGTACTAAACCTCCCGAAGGCGTACGAAAACACCAATTAAATGCTGTATCTGGTATGTTTCTTCAATTTGCGAATCAGCTTGTCGACGTTTTTCTTGCTCTCTCCAAAATCTCGAGTGACTTCCCGCATCTTGTGTATTTCTTCAGCGAATTCATACCTGTAATAATTATCTTGGTTGAATATGTCTCTTAAATACCCTTCAAATGAGGTGCCACTCCACATATCTCAATTAAGAAGTTAGCTATGGTGCCGGTCATATTAACCGCCACATGAGGTTATGTAGACATATTAAACTTATAAATTAGAAGCTACCTTGCCGGTCGATATGAACGGCACCAATGATTTCCCAGGATTCGAATCCTATGTGATTCGAATCCTCCCCAGCTCTTGTACTAATAGACAATTATTTATAATAAAACTTATGAATCATTAAAGACGGCGCGGGCCAAATTGACCGGCACCGGTGATTCAAGTGACGGTCATATGAATCGCCGGGTCACGTGTCACCCTACATATATCATTTAACAAGTTAACTATCGTGCCAGTCATATTGGCTGCCACATGAGGTTATGTTTTCACATTGACAATCATATGAACCGACAGGTCACTACACATATTAAACTTACAAATTAGAAGCTACCGTGCCGGTCGATGTGAGCGTCACCAATGATTTCAATTCGTGTCGTTTACGTCGTATGAAACGATAGACAATTATTTATAAATACACTTACGAATCATTAAAGGCAGTGCTGGCCAAATTGACCGACACCGATGATTTAGTTTGAGCCGTGACGGTCATATGAACCGCCAGGTCACATGTCACTCTACATATATCATTTAAAAAGTTAACTATCGTGCCGGTCATATTGACCACCACATAAGGTTATGTTCGAGCATTGACGAACATATGAACCGACATACCACTAAACATATTAAACTCTCAAATAAGAGACTACCGTGCCGGTTGATATGACCGGCACCATTGATTTCATTGTATTGTATGAACAGTTATATTATTTATAATAAACTTATGAAGCTTTAAAGACTGTGCTTGCCAAATTAACCGGCACCGGTGATTCAGTTCGCACCGTGATGGTCATATGAATCGTCACTCTACATTATAATTTAACATATATCAGTTAACTATCGTGCCGGTCATATTCGCTACCACATGAAGTTATGTTTGAACGTTGGTGATCACTAGAACCGACAGGCCATTTAGAAGCTACCATGCCGGTCGATATGACCGTCACCAATGATTAAGTTCGCGTCGTGACCGTCGTATGAACAGACGGACAATTAAACTAAACTCGCGAATCATTAAATGCGGTGCCGGTCATATTGCGGTGATTCATTTCGCGCCATGACGGTAATCGGAACCGCCAGGTTACCATTCATATTAATCTTACGAATTGGTAGCTAACGTCACTCATGATGATGATGGATGGGGCTTTTGTCACCTGTTAATCAAATGGTACCCTGTAAATTGTTACAGCAAATAATAATAATAACAGTCTCTTTCCCACAGAAGCTCAGTCGGGCTATTGTGGTTAAAATTCATTGGTAAGGTGGTGAATCATTGCGACAGTATTATTACCGTGACGGTCATATTGGCCGACAAACGTTTGTACAGTGATGATCCTATGAACTGACAATTAAACTAAAAAATCGGTAGTGTGACTGGCTGCTATGATTCCGTTCGCGTCATGATGTTTGAAAAAACCGATAGACTAATATTTATATTAATTGCAAGAATCTTTAAATGATATGTCGGTCATATTGACCGGCACCGATCAATTCAGTTTGCACTGGTGACTAATATGTTACTAGTCATATTAAACTCTCAAATTGTTAGCTACCGTCACAGATGATGATGGTGAGTGGCATTTACCTGACCTGTAAGTCAAATGAAATCAGTCATCTGTAAGTCGCCACGACAAATAATAATTGCGGTCGTTACAAGCTCGGTCGTCTTCTGAGGTTAAAATCATACGTAGAGTTTTAGGTATTACCGTGTCTGTCATATTGGCCGGCATCAATGATTCCTCTTGCACAGTGAATGTAATATGAATCTGAGTACCAATAAATATGAATCTGCATACCAGTATTAACGAATCGTTAAATTATATGCCGGTCATATCGACCGGGACCAGTGATAAGTTTGCACCGTGAAGATAGTGGAAGGGAACCGTCATTGGCGATTTATAGAAATTTATCTTATTGTAAACCGCGCAGGTCTATATGACAGACGTATTTTTGTTTTGTTTGAGGGTTAATTTACCACCGTGATTCTTTCAAATGGTCATAGATAACGATAGCATACCAATTTACACAATGTGAATATATTTTCCAACAATACGGAATAAAATATATTTTAACACGTTGACTGCCATGCTAATTTTCAGGATTCCGGTCTAGAAAACCAATCTAATTAACTCTTATTATAGTATACATTAATCATCAAAAGACAGCTGAGGCAGAGATATGCATCTAAATTTGTTAGTAGCAAATGACAAATAATAAAAATACTATTTTGTTTCTTGATTTTGTATAAATTTTGTATGACATTTTATGTTCATTTAATAATACATTTTCTATTCATGTAAGCTAGCCTTGATTTTTTGTTCTCTTCCCAGAAACTATTTGTTCATATTTACACTGACTTACTCAGAATTTAATCGTGAGTTATCTCGTAGTTGGCAGTCAACGTGTTAAAACAGTGGCAACAAAATTGTATTCCGTAACAAATATAGTGAATGAATTTGCAGATGCTTTTTGGAAAATGTAATACTAATATACAGTGAGCATCATAAGTCTTGCCCCCTATGTAACTCATTACTGGAGTTTTTTTAGGAAAATCGCCGAGACACGTCGATTTTTGATTTCTACAATGTACATTTTTATATGAATAGTTTACCCTTAATTTCGGAAAATTTAAATGGCATGGGGTGGTGAGTGATAGCTCATTTGAAAGGGGGTTTTATTCTCTATTCAACCGTGCAAAAAAATTTTAAATTTGCTTCATTAATTCTCGACTAATTATTGTTTCAGAATAACGGAAATTAACGTAGCGCACTTATCCTTAGAATTAAAATTCGGTCCTGCATGATATCGGTTTTGGTTCAGACGTGAAGTAAGACTTTTTGCCATTAGATAAGGTCACTGTTAGTTTAGTTGCTTTTCTGTTTGTGATGTTTTGTTATTTTTAAACATTAATAAATCAACACGTAATGAAGCAAATTTCAACATGTTTTGCACGGTTGAATAGAGAATAAAACCCCCTTTCAAATGAGCTATCAGTCACCATTCCATGATATTTAAATTTTTCGAAAGGGTTGCTCCCCTCCAGTAAGGGATGAAATAAGGGGTAAACTATTCATACAAAAATGTACATTGTAGAAATCAAAAATCGACGTGTCTTGGCGATTTTCCTAACAAGACTCCAGTAACGAGTTAGATAGGGGAGGTAAGACTTATGATGCTCACTGTATATATTTTGCATCTGTAAGTCCCGTTTTGATAATTTTTAATATTTACTACTACTAGATTTGACATTATACTACAAAAAGTGCAGTGTAGAGTTTTTTATGGTTTAACGACTTATGTATGTCGTTTTTTTGTTCTAATTATATTGAAAAAATGTCGTTTGATAAGGTTTATGAAGTTCCGATACCAGTATCCATTCTTTAATGGTATCGCAACATTTCTTAATGCCGATACAAACCACTAGTAATACATACCCGCTAACATCTTCTTCCTCGGAGTTTTTCAACTGCAAACTAGTCTTCATACCTAGCAGAACGCTCAAGAATTTCTGATTGTTTTGCTCGAGATTGGCTAGCTCGTCCTTGATTTGGTACAGCTTCCGTTTGTCGTGTTTGAACGATTTCAACGGCTTCGGATCGTACTCTTCCACGTATACGGCGTCTTCTTCCTCTTCGACGGGTTCCTCTTCCGCTTCCGACGGTTCCTCTTCGTTGTCGTCCACGTCGAAGCCCGTTTCGCCGATGTTTTGCGACGGCGTCAACTCATCGGCGTCGTTGTCTTCGTCATCGTCGTCCGCCATGTAATCGGTCATCTTTATGCCTTTTTGGAGATCTGAATTAAAAAAAAATCAATTGGGCAATGTTTGAGTGTCTTGCTTTTAGTTTTCGAAGCGACATCATCGATGAGACAATAACTTGATTCGATGTTCGCATATAAATTGTTACATACTATACACAGTACTAAATTTACTAAATACTAAATTTATGCAATATTAATATTGTAAAAAGGGTACATAGTTGTTAAATAATACAAATAATACAAATTGAAGGATGAAGAACAGCGGTGGAAAACGTTTTGAATTTTGATAGAGTCCAGTATATCAAAATGTCATTGTCGTCGTACTTTATCTTTTAAAATAATGTATCTATATGAGATTTACATTGAATGCCATTTGTCTCATTTGATTCAGACCAATAACAACAAATATACGTTAATGCCCTTTTGGCAATGCTACTTCTCATGTTTATAAGCCACCTCTGTCTCCTCTTCGTCGATTGTCCCTCTCACTTCTTCTTTTCTTATTTTCTTCGTCTTCGTGTTTCCAGAGACTTTTTCAAATTCTCCTAACCAAAGAATTCGTAAAACGAGAACTTGATGAACATGTTACCAAAGTGGTCCTTACATTTCATCTACTGATATATACTCTACCTTTATCGATATCTTCTTCTTTGTCGCTCGCTTCCTTATCAGCCTCCAAATCATCTTCGTCATTGATGTCGAGGTTGTATTGATCGAAAAATTCATCGTCAGACATGTCTTGGTAGTTTCTGGAACGTTTTGTACGCACCAACTCCTTTTTGGTAGGCGGCAATTCAATGAGTTTCTGAAAAAAGAATGAAATGCTTACGACTTACTCACCATCTCAACTAGCGATACTTCAGATATAAAATAAATAAATTTACCAAATCATCCTTCCTTTCATCGTTAATGGCGTCGCCCAGCATGTCTATGCACTCCTGCAACATCGTTTGGCAATTTTCGTACTCCGGTATGTCGTTTGCGTCGATGTTTTGATCCTCCAATCTTTTTTCGATCAAAATCTCTTCCAAATTTTTGACCTCGTCGAAGATGATTTGCTTGAGGCGCGGATCCAACATGATTGCCTCCTGATCCTGATTATCGATTTGGTTCTTTTTGAAGTACGCTTCCAAGATATGATTGTACCGTTGTATCTTTTTGGTTTTGCGCTCGATGTCGACGATCTTCTTCTCCAAATTGGGAGGGAACATTTTGTCCAATTTGCTAGTCACCTCTCTGGGCACCTCTAAAATTGAAGAAAATGGTATTTAATTAGGTTGAAATGTAAAGAAAATAAAGATGGTTTACTTACTGAGATTAACAGGTTTCATGATAGTCTTGGCGGGGTACGCCATTACGGTCCCCCCTCTTTTCCCAATCGGAATATATTTACTGCTAGAACCTGCCTTAGTCGGCACATTTTTGCCTGGTGCACTCTTGGCAGCTGCAGCCTTGCTAGAAGTTCCTTGCCCTTTGCAACCGTCTGTGTACTTAACGAATTCAGCTAGATAGTCCCGTAGTTTATTCTCCAAAGTTTCGAATTTTTTCAGCGTGTTCTTCTTCATGATGCCCTTGTCGTTCTTGGGGCCCTTGTTGATGACGATCTTGCCGTCCTGGTAGGTCATTTGGTAGCATGGTGCCGGCGGAAGGCTGCTTTGGTACTTCTTGAAGTTATGGTAGTTCTGGCTCATAGTGGAATTATCGTGTAACTTATTTTTCTTCAATTTTATAAGATGAAATGAACGTTTATTTAATTTTTTGGATAAATTGTTTTTTGATTGAATTGATGGCGTGCTTACTGTGAATTTTGACGTAATTTATGTCAAAGGTGATTAAAGGTAGATTCGAAATACATTTTATTTTCAGGAATAGTGCCACCAATGCAGTCAACACCTATAGTACAACCTTTAATCGATCCGATCGGTCCTTTACCATCCGCACCACCGCTAGTAGCCAATATCCCCTTGTCGTCTTCTACTATCCAACCTATAATGTCGACCTCGCCTTTAGTAACTAGCATCCCACCTACGGTGCCCGGAATACCTCCTCCCCCGACCGCTATTCCTCACATTCCACCGAACGTACCAGTCGGAATCCCTCCCCTACCGACTGGAGTTCCACCCATCGCGTCCGTCATCGCTCCCGTAAACACGGTAGCCCCCATGGGCGGTTCAGGGATGTCTCCTGTAACGGGACAACCGCTCGGCATACAGGGCGTTCCTCGTCCCAGTGCCTCCAGCACTCCTCGAGCCAGCATCACCAGTTTGGAGAGGACTCATTCCATAGAATCCGTATCGTAAGTATTATATACAAGTTTAGTCCAGTGAAGATGTCATTGTTTTTTCTTTTTTACCGTAGAAGTCAACCAGAATGGTCGGTACCACATCAAACTAAGTTGAAATATACACAAATATTTAACTCTACTGATAGAACTCGAAGCGGATTTCTATCGGGAGCGCAAGCGAGGAATGTCATGGTTCAAACTAAATTGCCGCAAAATATTCTAGCACAAGTTTGGTGAGTGTGTTTGGCTTCCTCTATTGTGAGCTTTATAGATGAAACTTTGTTAATTTTAGGGCGTTATCGGATATGGACATGGACGGTAGACTGGGTTGCGAGGAGTTCGTGTTAGCTATGCATTTGTGCGAGCAGGCTTCTCTGGGCACTCCCCCGCCGACGAAATTGCCTCCCGATCTGGTGCCGCCTTCGTTCCGAAGAACGAGAACGACTTCGGTTTCCAGCCAAGGCAGCGCGCCTGCCGATCAGGATCCTGCTTCGACTTTATTACAGAGTATGTGTAGTAGTTTTCACTTTATTAGGTATGTTCTAGATTAAATTAAATTATCCATCGTAGATTCGTTCGAGGATAAGCGCAAAGAAAACTTCGAAAAGGGCCAAGCTGAGTTGGAGCGAAGAAGAAAAACGCTGTTGGATCAGCAGCGACAAGAGCGCGAAGAACGGGAGCGAAAAGAAAGAGAGGAGCTGGAAAAGAAGGAGAAGGCGCGACAAGAAGCGGAAAGGAAGCGACTGGACGAATTGGAGAAACAAATGAGGGACCAACAGGAGAAGGAAAGATTAATAGAGGAGGAGAAAAAGAGACAGGCTGAACAAAGAGAGGCGGCCAGGAAGGAGATGGAGCGACAGAGGCAATTGGAGTGGGAGAAACAAAGATTGCAGGAACTTCAAAATCAACGCCAAAGAGAGCAAGAAACCGTGCTGAAACTCAAAGCTAAAAACCAAAGTCTCACCATCGATTTGACAGCGCTAAACGATCAAGTCAAAGAACTGTCGCAGAAAATTTGCGATACGCGCATGGGCGTGTCGAACGTCAAAACGACCATCGACGGTATGCGATCGACGCGCGACTCCCAAATGTCGGAAATGTCGCAGCTGAAGAACAAGTTAAAGGAGCAGAACGCTCGGTTGTTGGCGCTGAGCCAAGAGAAGATCAAATTGGACGCCAAGAGTAAGGCGCACGCGCAGGATAGTGAGCAAACTAGGTTGGCTTTCGAGAATAAAGAGGTTACCATTAAAAATTTGAGGACTAAGGTCGACGACATGCAATCGGAAATCGACAGCAAATTGACAGACATCGAAAACAACAACACCCAATTGTCCGACTTAAAAACACAACTCAAAAATCTTGTGAACGAGTGCGAACAACTATACAGCGTGTACGAGGTGAAACGGAGCACGATATTGGAGATGAAGAACGCCAACAAAAGCACCGAGTTGGACGCGTGGAAGACAACGGATGCGTGGGGACCTTCTGCCGAAGACAGCTCGAGTGATTGGCCCGTGGATAATAACTGGGCTGAAACGGGCACCGCTACCACGGACTTGTCTTCGTTACCCGGAATCGTCAAGTACAGGGCTTTGTATGAGTTCGTGGCGAGGAACAACGATGAAATCTCGTTCCAACCGGGCGATGTTATTAACGTAAGTAAATACTGTTCATTTCAGTTTTTGAATCTGACTTGTAGAATCGTAAGTCAAAAATGGACTAAAACGGGTCAATTGTTTGTTATAGGTGGCGAAAGAACAAACCGGCGAACCTGGTTGGTTAGCAGGCGAAATAAGAGGCCACACCGGTTGGTTCCCGGAAGCTTACGTGGAACCCATAGACGGAGTCGGCGTAAGGGATGATGAAGCTGTTTTTGCCCAACCCGTTGGTCCCAGTTTGGAAGAAATCGAAGCCACACGACTGGAGTAAGTATTCCTACCCTTTCATTAATAAATTTGTGAGCATTTTTTAGAGAACAATTAATTTGAAATTGTGAACATTTTAAATTCATTTATAATATTAATTATTAATATTATTAATTAATGTATACAGGCCTGAATTTATGAACATTTTTGGAACTTTTAATGATCTTATGAAGAATAAATGTTAATTTAGTTAATAATCTTGTGAACATTTTGCATTTGTTCATAATTTTAAGTGTGTAAACACCTCAATTTGTTAAATTTGTTTACAATGCTATGAACGATTTTGAATTGATGAGTACGACTGTACATTACTCAGAAACTTGTTATTAAATGGCAACGCCGCTTCTCTAGCGATAGAGGAATTGGTTCAACGTTATCTATTTCTTAATTTACCATTTTTTAAATTGTTCAAAATTTAGTGAACAATTATTATTTTAAAGTTTTAAACATTTTAATTTGTTCATACTTTCAAAAATATTCTGAATTTACGATTATTTCTGGTACTGTTAATTGTTTTGTGAACGGTTTCTTAACTTTTGAACTGTTAAATTTATGAATATTTTGAATTTGTAATTTTTTTGAGATTGTTCACTTTCTTGTGAACATTTTAAATTTGCAAAATTGCGTTTGTTTTTGGATCTGTTTTAAACCCAACACTCCTAAATTCGTTTTTATTTTGAGTTTATTCACTGTTTTTTAATTTATCTTTTTTAAATTGTATTCATTTTTTTCTAGTTGTGAACATTCTCAAAATTGTTCATGATTTCAAAACTGTATAAAGTTCTCATTTTACGAACATTTTTAGAGCTTTTTATTATTTTGTGAACAGTTTATAAACATAATGAACATTGTTTACAAATTAATTTGAGATTATTCAATTTTTGGTGAATAATTGTGAACATTTTATGTTTGTTCATATTTACATAACTGCATTTGTTTTTGGATCTGTTTTAAACTCAACACTCCTAAATTTGTTATTTTAAGTTTCTTCACGGTTTCCTAATTGATCTTTTTTTACTTGATCAAACGAGTGATATTTTTTCAAGTTGTGAACAATTTTAATGTGTTCATAGTTTTATGAACAATTTTTGAACTGTTTATTGTTTTGTGAACAGTTTATAAACATGCTGAGCAATGTTAACAATTTCCTAATTTGATTTAGGGTTATTCACATTTTTGTGAACAATGGTGAACATTTTGAATTTGTTTATATTTACAAAGTTGCGTTTGTTTTTGGATCTGTATTAAACCCAACACCCTTAAATTTATAATTTTGTTTCTTCGTGGTTTTTAATTTACCTTTTTTTAACTTGTTCAAATAAGTGATCTTTTTTGAGTTGTGAACATTATAAATTTGTTCATATTTTTGGAGTTGATTATTGTTTTGTGAACATCTTTGAAACAGTTTATTGTTTTGCGAACAGTTTATAAACATAGTGAACAATGATCACAATTTCCTAATTTGATTTCAGATTGTTCACATTTTTATAAACAATTGTGAAGATTTTGAATTTGTTCATATTTGCATAATTGAGTTTGATTTAGGATCTGTTTTAAACCCAAAACTCCTAAATTTGTTATTAGTTTTAGGGTCTTCGCGATTTCTTAATTTACCATCTTTTTAACTTGTCAAACTCGGGAGCATTTTTTTGAAGTTGTGAACATTTTCAACAGTGGAACTGTTTATTGTTTTCTAAACAATGTTTACAATTTATTAATTTATTTAGATGGTTCACTTGTGAAAATTTTGTTTTGTGAACATTGTTCAAACTTTTTAGATTATTTACTTTCCTGTGAACAATTGTGAATATTTTGAATGTTTACTATTTTTAAATTCAACACTCCTGTTATTATTTTGAGTTTGTTCACTGGTTTTTAATTTAAATTATTATTTTATTATTTTAAAGTTGTGAACATTTTCAATTTGTAAAACTTTTTAGTCCTGAATTTGCGATCATTTTTGAACATGTTTACTTTGTTGTACAAATTTTATAAACATAATGAACAATGTTCTCATTATTAATTTGATTTTTTTGAGAGTATTTGCTCTCTTGTGAACAATTGTGAACATTTGAATTTGTTCATATTTGCAAAATTACTTGTTTTTGAACCTGTTTAATAAATTTTTGACGATTTTTAAATCCACATTTATTAATTTGCAAATTTATTGAGGTTCACAATATTGTGAACAAGTGTTGACATTTTGAATTTGTTCCTAATTTCAATACTGTATACATTTCTGAATTTCGGAACAATTTTGGGACTGATAATCGTTTTGTATTTGTAAACAATGTTAGAGTTGTGAAAAAGTTGAATTTGTTTGTAATTTCTTACTTTTAACTTTTTTGAAATTGTTTACTTTCTAGTCTACATTTAAATTTGTTTATTTTCGCAAAACTTTTTGGGCTTGTTTACTGAATTGTGATCAATTTGTTTCTCAACACTTCTAAATTTGTTACTATTTTGAGTTTGTTCACAATTTCTTAATTCACCTTTTTCAGATCTTTTTCAAAATCTAGTGAACAAATATTTTGAAATTGTAAACATTTTGAATTTGTTCATAATTTCTAAACTTAATCTTGAATTTACAAACATATTTAAACGTTTAATAATTTGTGAACATTTTTTTAAAGTTTAGCAAATCTTGAGTTTGTAATTTGTGTTCATTTGACCTGTTGTTTATTTTTTGTTATTTGCACATCATGCTGTGTAACTTCTTTGTTCACTTTCCATTCCACCACTCCCCCTATTTATTGTTAGGCTTTCTATCCGCTCTTTTTCCCTTCAAGGGGTATCGCAGAGGTTCCGGAAGGCTCCGACACGACGAACTCGTTCGAACCCGCGCCAGCGCCCGTTCAGGCTGACATCGTCAGCCAACCTAGCTCGGTCGAAGAGGCGGAAGCCGAGTATTACATAGCCAATTATCCTTACCAATCGCAAGAACCCGGAGATCTGACGTTCAACGCCGGAGAGGTGATAGGCGTGGTGAAAAAAGACGGCGATTGGTGGACGGGTAAATTAAACGGAGCCGTAGGAATATTCCCGAGCAATTATGTACAGAAGGTCGATGTGGTGAGTACTACTATTTGGTTAAGTCGACCTCATTAATAATTTTTTTCGTTGATAGTGTGTAGAAATTGTTTTTTTGTTCTGGGGGAACTTTCATAGTATTTGTATTGAATGTGATCATTTTTATTATTTTTTAACAAAATTGTTTTTAGTTTAGTCAAAAAACGGCTTTGTTGTTGCTAGGAATCTAAAAAAGCATTCGACAGTATTTTCAAGAAAATAAGTCAATAGATACTGTCCCAATAGTATTTCAATTGAATATGTACATAGTAAATTCAATATTTAATCATATAATATTATTAATTTGCAAATTCTATGTACAAAGCGCAGTCACAAATTAATTTGCAATTAAAACCTTATTAATTAAATCAAATACCCTAAAATCATAACGCACCTCAAGCCAATAGGCCTGTTCCACTCTACATATACCTCAGATAGCTCCAAGAAAGGTCTTAACTCATAAACAATGTCCAGAATATCTTGACGTCTTCTAGCTCTTCTACCGCCTTATAAACAAAAACCAAAGGCTTCTTCAATGCCTTTTTATGTTTTTACTTTTTATTCAACGTCCTCAGGCATTCTTACCTCTTATAAACAATCTCTTTAAATGCATTACCAGTAAACTAGCCACAGAAGATTTATCAACATCTTGTAGCCTTTTGACATCTTGTAAACAATCTTTAAAAGCTTCTTCAATGTATATAATATTTTAACTTCTTGTAAACAATCTCCAGAAGTTTCTTCAAAGTCACATAATCAGTTTATCTGTAAATGAGTTACAGAAGCTTCAATAACGGCTTTTTGACCCGTTGTAAACAATATCGAAAGAACCTTTTCAACGTCTTCAGACATTTCTACCTCTTAACAAACTATTTTCAAAAGGTGTTTTAAAGTATCTAATATTTTTTAGTTTTCTAGCATTTGACCTCTTATAAACAATATCTAAAGACTTCTTCAACTTCTTCAGTTACTTTCATATCTTATAAACCCTCTCCAGAAACTTCTTTTTTGTATTATTTTTATAAACAATCTACATAAGTTTCTTCAAAGGCTCATATTAATGTTTCCTATAAAAGAGCTCTATCACCGTCTTGTAGCCTTTTGACCTTATTGAAAACAATATCTAAATGCGTTTTCTATGTCTTCAGGCACTTATTACATTTTTAAACATTATCTAGAAGCTTCTTAACAGTATCTAATATTTTTGTTTCTTGTATACAATCTCCAAAAGTTTGCAAATAATAGTTTTATGTGGCTACAGAATCTTTATCAAAGTTTTATAGCCTTTTGACCTTTTGTGAACAATATCCAAAGGCATTTTCAATGTATTCAGGTCCTTTTACCTCTTATAAACAATATCCAGAAACTTTTTCAGTGTATCTACAGAAGCTTCATCAACGTCTTGTAGCTTTTTGACCTCATTATAAACAATATCCAAATGCATTTTCTATGTCTTCAGGCATTTTTACCTTTTTAAACAATATCCATAAGCTTCTTAAAAGTATCTAACATTTTTAGTTCTTGTATACAATGTTCAAAAGTTTCTTCAAATTCACCTAATAATTTTAGATGGTAATCGAGTTACAGCATCTTCATCAAAGTTTCCTAGCTTTTCGACCTCTTTTAAACAATATCCAAAGCCTTCTTCAACGTCTTAAGGCAATTTTATTTTTTATAAACAATCTTCAGAAACTTTTTTTAATATTTTTACCTGTAAACAATATGCAGACGTTTCTTCAACGTCTTGTAGCTCTTTGACCTCATTGTAAACAATATTCATGGGCTTCTTCGTCTTCAGGCATGTTTACCTCTTATAAACAATGTCCAGAAACGTCTTCAATGTTTCTTATATTTTTACTTGTTGTAAACAATCTCTAGAAGTTTCTTCCAAAGCATATATTAATCAATTATCCCTCAAAACAGCTACAGAAACTTCATCAACGTCTTGTAGCTTTTTGACCTTATTGTAAACAATATCCATAGGCTTCTTCAACGTTTTCAGGCACTTTTACTTCTTATAAACAATCTGCAGAAGGTTCTTTAATGTTTTCAACTCTTCCAGTTACAAGAAGCAGTGATAGATGTCACAGCACATCTACTATTTTCGTTTTTTGCAGACCGCGCTTTGTACATACTTGTACAAACGCTTTTAAAATACTGACGCTTACATTGTGTTTCGATACTAATCCTGTGTTGTCAGCCTTCTACCACTAACGTTGTCGCTGAGCCAGTTGCCGTTCAATCTACCGTCGAAGCTGTTGCGGCGGAACCTCCGCAACCGAAGCTATCGACGTGCGTATCGGCGGAGGCCGTACAAACGGCGCTTGAAAACGTCAACGCGCAGGCGCAAGCCCAGGCCCAGATCGACAACGAAGTGTCGCAGATCAGCTTCAACAAGGCGAAAGAGGAGGCGCTGGCACAAGCTGCATCCGGCCAGGTTTGTCTATGATTGTTTATCGGTGCGACGGGCTTGCTTTATTAACGTTCTATAATTTATTTTGTGCTATAAGAAGGAATAATGTTTAATTAATACACGCAGGTTGTGAAGACGAAAAAACCCGAAATCGCTTCGGTAATAGCTCCGTACCAGTCGACCAGTCCCGAGCAGCTGTCGTTGGCGCGCGGCCAGTTGATCATGATCAGGAAGAAGACGGACAGCGGTTGGTGGGAGGGAGAACTGCAGGCGAAAGGTCGCAAACGTCAAGTGGGCTGGTTCCCGGCCAGTTATGTTAAGGTGCTGAACAGTACGGGGAAGATCAGCGGCAGGAGCACGCCCGTATCGACCACCAGGATGCAGCAGGAGGTCGTTATCGGTAAGAAAACACGTTTCTTCAGTTGGTCGTAGGAAAAATATACTATTCGATATATTTTTTGCAGATAAAGTGATAGCGTTGTACCCGTACACAGCCGGTAACCCGGACGAGCTGTCGTTCGCGAAAGACGACATTATAAGCGTGACGGCGCGCGAAGAAGAAGCCTGGTGGAGGGGGGAATTGAACGGCGTGTCCGGACTCTTTCCCAGCAATTACGTGACTCCGCTTGGGCAATGTAAGTAAACTATTTTTACTTTCTTATTTTAAAGAACCGAAACATTTCAAAATGCATAATTTGGTTAAGTAAAAGCCAGTCAGCTGTCAAATATTAAATTATTTATTAATTGCTACATTTCTTCTTTGTTTGACATTTGTCGTTTAAAAGTAGTTTAAACAATAATTAAACAATTCGATTTGTTAAATATTTTTTTTTTTGGTAGTACATAATTAGTTCGAGGGCTGATCCAAAGTGCATTTGGTTTTCGTTGATTTCAAGTGTATTATAGTCGAGGATCTTGATTAAAAAAAGTATTATATTAAATTACCAACTTATAACTTTGTTTAGTTTAGGGACATAATAAATTGGTTCCTTATCTATTTATGAGAAAATCAAATACTATTTTAAAAATCAAAATAAGCTTATCAAAAACATTGTTGAACTTATCATAGTTGAGGTTTCTGTTTGTCAAATGTCTATCTTGTCAATTTACCACACTTGAATTTTTTGTTTATCAAATGTCTTTATCATGTCAAATGTCAAGTATCAATTGTCAGGAAATGAAGGGCGATTTAAAATTGTTTTCGACGCTTGTTGTGGCTTTTATTTAATGCGTATTTGCGACGCAGTTCATGATTCATATCAGGCGATGTATCATTGTTTTTGGCGGCGATCTAACATTATTTTTTCTGTTTCCGATTTTTTTATAGGAACATTTCTGCACCCATCCTACCATACGAAGCTGAATAGTTTAATATATAGTATCATTAGCATTTTTAGTGTATTATCTGTTACTATTATTATTATGACGATGATTATTATTATACAGGATGTATGTATCTTTAAATTAAGAGAAAAAAATATATCATTCTGAACGTGTGATTGTGCCCATTTTGAACTGCCTTATGTAGAGTGTGGGGTAGTTTAGTGTAATAAAGCCCACTTTTTCTAATAGAGAACATAGTTAACACGATTAGGGTACATAATATATACAGCAACGGCTATTTATTCTAAAAGAATAATGACACAACTCAAAACATAGATTTTCTTGTAATGCTTATCAAAATATATATATTCTATTATCGATTATTAAAAATAATCGATTGTTTTCGATTAATCGATTATTTTTAATTAATGAATCCCCTTGTCTTGCGTCTTGAAAAAGGTTTGAATTTTTTTTGGGAAAATACATCAGTGACTTCAAACAATAACAAGTTTGCTTTGATAGCTTTAAGAAAAACTTATAAATATATTTTCAACTCATTTGAGTTATGACGTTCTTCCTACCTTTTCAACAATGTCATAATTTGACTTGTGTCACTGTTGAAAACAATGTTCTGATTTGCGTCACTCTTGCTGAAAATTTACGATATTGTTTCATTGACTCTCAGATCTATATTTATGTCATTTTTGGAAGCAGTAATATGTTCTTCCACCTAAAAATATGCTAATTTTGCTATACATTTTTGAGTTGTGTCACTATTCTTTTATTCTCTAATGTCATATTTTAGTTTTTTTTTTCGTAAGGGAATTTAAAATTGCGATATTCTGTTTTTTTTTCCTTTCGAAATACCTACAATAAAATTGTAGCCTTTGTAACTGTATAATTGTACCCATTTGCTTCAAATAAGGGTTTAGAAAGTGTCGAAAAGTCGGCAATCATTTTCATTTTTTAGGCACGAATTCTCTTTAACACGTACAGTGCAATTATACTTAAAAACTGGCAAATTACGAATTAAAACCGGAAATATACAGGGTGGCGCATTATAATGTGTTACAATTCGAAATATCAGTTTTATTATTGTTATTACTCAAAAATACAAATTTTAAAATTATTTCCATATCTACTTCTACAGGATGTTTCATTTTAACGCGTCGAATCACACGTTAAAAGTTATTAGATAGTTTTTTGCATGGATCTAATATCGTCTGCGTTAACTTGACAGCTACTGATGCGCAATTTTTATTTTGCGGGCATGTAACCTTATTAACGGTAAAATTTAATAACTTTTTGTCCTAATTTAATTTCAATAATTCTATCAAGCTAGGGAAATACACAACATTTTCGATTGTAAAAAGTCCCAATTAATCTAGAATTAGTAAGAAAGACATTCAACTTTTTTAGCACAACAAAACAAATTTAACATATCCAGTTCTTTAAATATTTATAATACACAATGGGAAATTTTCCTGTTGCTAAGAGTATTCATTGCACAAAAAGAGCAGTTAGACTTATTTTTAATTTAGACTCAAGACGTAACTACACGCAGACATTTTATTAATTATCATATACTCACACTTACCCTCAATATTATACACAAATAAAAAAAATCGAATATTTTTTAACGGTTCTTTGGTAATTTTACAAAATTAGTTCGAGAGCTGATCCAAATTACATTTGTTTTCCGATGATTTCAAGTGTACTATAGTCCAGGATCTTGATCAAAATCGTACATTCATATTAATGAAATTACTTAAAAATTAATTTAGCTTAGGGATGAAATCAATTGTTTCCATATAGATTTATCCAAAAATATAATACTGTTTTAAAAAAACGCATACAGAGCGGAAAGTTAAATATCAACCTTAAACTACGTATTATTTTAAAATGATTTCCATATCTACCTCTACAAAGTGTTTCATTTTACCAGGGCGAATCAAACTTGCAAAATATTTGTGTTCTAATGCGTAATCAGTTTGTTTATGGTAACCTTATCAAAGGTATAATAAATAAATTAGTAGTGAAGTTTTTTAAAGTAGGTACAACTGTCAAACAACCTCTTGGGTTGATGTAATTAGCTAGTTTTTAGTGTAATTGTACTGTAATTGTGTGCGATTTGATTAAATTTTTATACTGTTATCGATAAACATTAATATTTTTTTGTAATCGATCATTTTATAAGTTTTAAGCTGGAGTTATGTAGTTTGTTAAAGATTTGTATACAATTTTTTTTGGTTTCAAACAAAAATTGATCAAAAATTATGTATTTTTTGATATTCATTTTAAAATCGTTTTACATTATATTTTTTATTTTTTTTTATACATTTAAATGGTTTTAGAATGAGCCCAAACATCTGGAAACAAAATGAATATTTTAATTTTGTTAAAAAAAAAATTGTTCTCAAACAATGTATAATAATCTCTTATAAGTAAGAAAATTTCACTTTTACGCTTCTGAATCAAAATAACTATTTTGAAAATAACTTATACAGTACGGACTATAATTTTGTTATTTCTAAAAGTTACAATAAGGGTCAAATTTCGGTCATCCTCGAGTCCATACTATATAATAATTTACATTACATTCATCATTACTTAAAAATCTCTTAATTCCTTTATAAAAATGTGATTATGTTGCTCATTTAGTATAAAATTATTTTTTTAATACATACAGCACGTCCCAGCAATAAAAAATCCTCATATACAGGACGTCATATTTCGAAATTATATATTTTTGTATTGTCGGGACATGCTGTAAATATTTGTATATGAGAATCTTGTTTTCAGCCAAAGTTTGGTAGGGTGGGTGTTTTTTTTTTTCTATATTATTATGGTAAGATTATTTTTTTTTTGCTATTTTTCTTGAGTAAAAATTTTAACCGTTTTGAAAATTTTCAACCACCCTACTGAACTCTGAGCTACGTTATTTATTCAGGGTGGATGGAAAAACCGATTTTATTTCTGTTCGATGTTTTTTCTTACAGCTACGACAATTTGGCAACACCGCGTCTCATTTATCTCATAAATATCTATTTAATTTTACTAATGTTTAAAAATGAAGAAGGGTAATTTTTTATTTTTACTACAATTAATGTTTAAAATTTGAATTTTCATTCATTTTAAGAGACCTATCCTCTATTATTCTAATTATTTTCCAAAGCTTCCGCAGATTTTTTATTAAAGAACTCCATGTAAGGATAAAAACAATGGGTGATAAATCAGGAGAGTGAACAAGTCATTCAGTTGAATCACTATTTATATTAAACACTTAATTACAATTATCTACAAAATCCCTTACATGATTGATATTCTCAAATCCTCTGGAATTGTCTTTACCACCTTTTTAAATTTTATTTCTTTCTTTATTTTATTATTATTTTCGTATTTTCTCAAGAAAATCTTTCAACAATGTTATGTTGATTTCAAATTCAAAATGAGTTGAAAAAAAGTTTTATTGGTTTAAAATTGTATTTTATGTTATGTGTAAAGCATTTTCAGTTGATCTGCCACATACGTTAAATGTACTACTATATTTCTATTCTATTCTGATATTTTTATGAAATTTTTACCAAATATTAACAAAATCCGACATTTTTTTATCCACCCTATTATTTATTAATTGTTAATTTGCTTCTTTGTTAGGATCAAAATTTGACATTTGCCATTTAGGAACAGTTTAAATAAAACAAAATCGAATATTTTTAACGGTTTTTTTGGTAGTACGGAATTAGTTCGAGAGCCGAGCCAAAGTACATTTATTTTTAGTTGATTTCAAGTGTATTATAGTCCAGGATCTTGATTAAAAGTCGTACTATATCAAATTACGAAAACTTACTTGCAACTTAGTTTTGGAGGTAAAATCAATTGTTTCCTTATAGAATAATCGAATATTATAAAAAAACGTAATAAGCTATCAAAAAAATTGTTGAACTTTCCGCACATTTTCTGTTTTGCAAATGTCTTTATCATGTATAGAAATAAGCAAAAAAATGTTATGTATATCGTTAGTTATTCCTTGAATTGTTGAAAAATACTCAACTTCACTATCATTATAATATAATGCATTAAAAATCATTGAATACCCTAGCAGGATTTTTATTTCAAATCTAAAATCAAACCAACAAAGAAAAAACAATATTTTTGAGTTTCTGCCTTGCTACAAGGTGAGTCAAAGTGCGATTTTTTTCCGGACTGCGCGCTTGCCATCTAATGTAATTATTCGCAGAAATGCCGTTCAAATAAGTTAAATATTTCCATAGTGCAATACTCTCCGCCGCAAAATAAGAAACGTCAAGAAAGCATCAACGAATTCATCCAAACCGAAAAAAGTTACGTCAGCGATATGTCGATCGTTCACGAAGTGTTCGAAGAACCGCTAAGAAGGAGCAAGCTGGTTCCTGTCAAGGATATCGACGACATTTTCGTCAACTGGCAAGACATTATCAAATGCAATAAACGATTCTTGAAGGACTTGGTTAGTGCCAATAAGACCGGTAGCGATATGATCGGGGATATCATATGTAAACATGTAAGTAAATCATAATACAATAGTGACGCAATCCTAAACTTTTTTTACTTGCGAAAAATTGTCAAATAGTTATTAGTAACAGTTGTTAAACATAACCGTTAATAAATATCGAATACGCCTCTGTGCAAGTTCGAGTCTTTAGTTAAAACGCAGTCACACTGGATATAACCATCTATGAGCAGAATGTTGAGCAAAATTATTGATCCCATCCTAGAGGAGGCGTGACTTTACAACTTACGTCACCGTCTTCACCGAAAAAAGCTTTGAAAAATATTTAACCTGTTTCTGTACTTATGTCGTAAGTATGTTGAAAATCCTTTCTTGCATATTGTAGAAATTGATAATAAAAGGTCGATGGCTTTTCTTCCCAAAACAGGATATTAATTTCTTACACCTAGCCAAAACTCAATGATCTTTAAAAATAGTTTTTAGAAAATTGTCAGAGCTTTTCTTTTTCGTTGTTTGATCCAGATGTAGTAGGTTTATTAGAAAAATAGTCCTTGAACGTTAATTGAAGCTAAAGGATAATAACACTTGGGAGATAGTAGAGAATATAGACTGATAATTAATAATGATAAAAAAATAATAAAACTATTTATTGCCCAACCGTTTCCCATTTACAAGGCAAATTTGCCAATATTAAATTAACTAAGAAAATACATATAATAAGTAAATAAAACAGTAAAAAAAGTAAGAAAGTAAAAAATAGTAAAAAAGAGTAAAAATTTAAGAGTAAAAAAATTAAAATGAATAAAAAATAGTTAAATAGAGTAAAATAGAGTAAAATATAGTAAAAAAATAAAAATGAGTAAAACTGAGTAAAAAAGAGCAAAACATAGTAAAAAAAAGTAAAAAAGAGTGTGAAAAATAGTATAAAAAAGTAAAAAATATTAAAAAAAAGAGAGTAAAGAAGAGTCTAAAAGGATATAAAAAAAAAGAGTATAAAAAAAGAGTATAAAAAAAGAGTATAAAAAAAGAGTATAAAAAAGAGTATAAAAAAAGAGTACAAAAAAGGGTATAAAAAAAGAGTATAAAAAAAGTACAAAAAAAGAGTTATAGAAAGAGTATAAAAAAGAGTGGAAAAAAGAGTAAAAAGGAAGTAAAAAAAAAATAGTAAAAAAGTATAAACGAGTTAAAAAGAATATAAATAGTAAAAATGAGTAAAAAAGAGTAAAATAGTCAAAAAGAGTAAAAAGGAGTAAAAGAGTAAAAAAGAGCAAAAAAGATAAAGAATGTAAAAAGAGAGTGTAAAAAAGTATAAAAATAATAAAAAAGTAAAAAATAGTCCAAACAGGTATAAAGAAGAGTATAAAAAAAGAGTAAAGAAAGAGAAAAGAGGCAAAAAGGGTAAAAAAGAATAAAACGAAAGTAAAAAAAAAAAAAAAAGGAAAAACGAGTTAAAAAGGGTATAATAGTAAAACAGGATTATAACAGATTATAAAATAGTATAAAATAGTACAAAGCAGTATAAAATATTATAGTATAAAACAGTATAAAATAGTATAAGGGTACAAAATCGTATAATATTGTATAAAATAATGTAAAATAGTATAAAATAGTATAAAATAGTATAAAATAGTATACAACATCATAAAACAATATAAAACAGTATAAAATAGTAAAAAATAGTATAAAACAATATAAAACAGTATAAAATGGTAAAAAATAGTATATAATAGTATAAAATGGTAAAAAATAGTATATAATAGTATAAAACAGTATAAAATAGTATAAATTAGTATAAAATAAATAAAACAGTTAAAATAGTGTAAAACAGTATAAAATTGTATAAAAAAGTATAAAATAGTATAAAACAATATAATAAAAAAATAGTATAAAACAATATAAAACAGCATAAAATAGTATAAAATAGTAAAAGAGAGTAATTAATTATAGACATATGTCTTACTTGCAGCTGCTGGAAATGAAAGCCTACATAACTTTCTGCATAAAGTATTATAAAATATATAAATCGGTATAAAATAGTATAAAACAGAATAAAATTGTATACAACAGTATAAAATAGTACAAAATAGTATAAAGTAATATAAAATAGTATATGAGTATAAAATAGTATAAAGTAGTATAAAAGAGTATAAAATAGTAAAAAAGAGTAATTAATTATAGAAATTCAAAAGGAAAGACTTGTATTTCGTGCAAAACTTTTTAATTAATAAATGCAAAGCGCTTTCGGCATTGTGCCATCATCAGTGCTTATCTACAAAAATTGTGGATGTAAACTTACAATTTATAAATATGTGTAAAAATAAAATCTGAGTAAGACTTTTGAGTCAAAAGTTAAAAATATATATAAGGTAATTTTGAACAAATTAACAATTAAAAGATAACAAACAGAGTGACATAACCCAGTGTCTCACTCCAACCATGAGTACGCTTGTTGAGTGATTTGAAATTTTTAGGACTAAACATCAGATTCACCTCTAGGGACCGCGGGTTCAGTTGTGCCATCTTGGGTTCTCTGAAAAAAGTTCTGCAGAGCCCGGGCTGGCACATCAGAATCACGTGAGTGGTATTTTTGTTTTGTCTTTATATTAAAAGGATCATTAAAAAGATCAATTCATATTAAACATTTATTTAAATTTAACTAACAAATAAATCAAATTTGGAAAAATTTTCTTTAAATTCGATACTAACAAATTTTGATTTCCTTTAACTACCTCCAATCACTCGAATCACACTTGGAGAAACATGTTCCACACTGAGGTGAACGCACCTCCTCTCTTGACATTTGACAGGTCAACGTCTTTAAGTGTCGCTTGTCACCACTGTCATATGGACACGGTTAAACAATATTAATAAAAATGAATGTATAAAGCAATTTAAATTTGAAAATATTACTAATAGTAATAATTATGATTTAGCAAGTTGTGAATTCCCAGAAATATCTAATTTTGGGAGCGAGGATGACTAAGAACTTGGTGGATATGTTTGTGGACAGTAGGTAGACTTTTTTACAATAATTATAATGTAAAGGAAAAAAAAGTTTTTTTCCTTTGACCTTTTGCATTTAACCTTTTTCATATTAACTATTGTATTCTAAATTTAAATTTCAATATATTTTCCACAGTCACCCTCTATTTGTAATTATTTTTTAATTTTTAACTAATTTGTTAACTTGTTTTCAACTGTACTCAATGCGAATAGTGAAGGTGTATAATTCCTTAGTTCCACACAAGCTAACTTGCTTCTGGAGATCAGATATGATTTTTTAGGGGCTTATCCAACACTCACTATTCCCAACACTGGATTATGTCACTCTTTTTGTTATCTTTTAATTGTTAATTTGTTCAAAATTACCTTATATATATATTTTTAACTTTTGACTTACTCATATTTTATTTTTACCCATATTTATAAATTGTAAGTTTACATTTACAATTTTTATAGATAGGCACTGATGATGGCACAATGCCGAAAGCGCTTTGCATTTGTTAATTAAAAAGTTTTGCACGAAATACAACTCTTTCCTTTTGAATTTAAACTACGTGCACACAGCTGTCAACCTTTTTTGGTTATTTTAATTATAGAAATATCTTACTTGCAGCTGCCGGAAATGAAAGCCTATATAACTTTTTGCGGTAAACAGCTGGACAGCGCTACGCTTTTACAAAAATTAACGGAAAATTCGACAGCATTCAGGGAATTGGTGAAAAAATGCCAAAATAACGTCGCCACGAAAGGAATGCCCTTATCATCGTTTTTAATCAAACCCATGCAGCGAATTACCAGATATCCGTTGTTGATCAATAAAATTTTAGAGAACACTCCACAAAATCATCCAGACTACATAAACCTCCAAGAATCCCTGACGTTGGCCGAACGGTTCCTGAGCTCGATCAACGAAAACGTCAGAGTCAAAGAGAACCAAGACCGTTTGAAATGGTTGCAGCAATGCGTCCAAAACGACTTGAACATCGTGTTCAGTAGCGATACGAATAGACTTGGACCGAGACAACTCTTGCACCACGGCCATTTCGTCAAGCTGAAAAGCAACAAGGAACTGTTAGGGTTCCTGTTCAACGATTTTTTCATGCTGGTACAGCCCAGCAAAGGCGCCGGTACCCAATTTCAGTTCCAGATCAACGGGAACGTCACCTACAAATTGTACAAGCAGGTCAGTCGGATTTTGTGAGGCGATTTCGATCTTTGACTCGATTTTCTTTCAGCCGATACTGATCCAAAATTTGGCGGCGAATCGAGAGAGTACCGACAACGTGGAGACCGGCACCGACTCAAACAGAGTTCTAAACATCCAGGACGAGAAGAACACTTTCAAAATCGCTCTGCTCGTTAGTTCGGTCAGCGAATGCAACCTGTGGATGAAAAGGATAGAGACGGCAAGAGAAACGTGTTTGAAAATTTACACGTTGAATCTGCAGAATAAGAGAAAAACACGTAAGTTTGATTAATAACCGATAAGCGTCCATTATAAATAATAATAAATACAACTCTTGAAATCGCAATTATAGAGTGGATGTATTCAATTTGTTGTTTTTTAAAAATAATTTTAATTGGACTAATTAATGCAATACAGGCAAACGTTATTCTATTGACACGTCACGCTTTCCTTGTCTATGGTTCTAAACAAAACAACGAAACTATGGCAACATAGTTGTCAAAAATGTCATTTTCGTCGACAGCACCAAGCTATTAGGTCATCATGTGACAGTAGATAATTGACACGTCGCCATGGTAATATTGTTTTGTTTGGAAATAAATGTACACGTTTAATCTGCAGAACAAGAAAAATGGCGCTATTTGATTAATAACAAGTAATCGTTTACCGTTAATGCGATTAAATCGATTATATTTTTAAAATGATAATTTCCTATGCTTTTAGTTGATTACTAGCTGTTCCCCACGGCTTTGCAAATTTTTTATTAATTTTTATTATTTATTTTTATTAATTTTTAATAGTTTTTATTAATTTTTTTAACTTTCATGAATTTTTATTGTTTTTTAATTTTTATTTATTTTATTTTCTTTAATTTTTATATTTTTATTATTTTTATGTTTTTTTTTTATTTTTTAATTTTATTTTTTTTATTTATTTTGAAATTGTCTATTTATTTATGATGAGTAGCTACAATTTCAATTTTCAAGTTCATACCTTTAAAAAAATTGATACCTCCATACAATCTTTCATCTCCCTTTCCTCTTTTCCCCCCTTAAAATATAAAAATTCAAAAACCCTGAAACCCGTCCTTATTTATTTATGCTCAAAAGCTGTATTTCAATTTTTTATTTTTCACAACCACTATGCAAAAAATCATGTCGATCCCTTGCTCCGTAAAAAATAGAAACCAATTTATCCCACGGGAACCGTACATTTTCCGGGATAAAAAACAGCCTATGTGCCACTCCAGACTATAATCTATTTCTGTGCCAAATTTCATCCAGATCCGTTCAGCCTTTCTGGCGTGATTGAGCAACAAACATCCATCCTTCCAAACTTTCGCTTTTATATAGTAGCAGGATTAATCGATAATCCTAGCTGTTAATCATACTTGGTACATTTAATGCCAGCTTGTCCTGTTTTAACATTGCTTTTGTTACTGTAACTGTAAATTATTGAGTCATATTTTATTAATTCTTGATATAATGAATACAACTTTTGATATCGGGACTATGGAAAATCATATAACTTAATACATCCAACATGATTTAATAAATTGTTGACAACGCGTTTCGTGCAATAGGATTATACAATAATTATAGACAGTCCCGATAACACCCGCTGTGTTATATATAATCAAATTAATACAACTCTTGAAACCAAGAATATGGATAATCAATTTGTTGTTAAATAATAATTATTGTAATTGGGAACTTTCTGTATATGCGACTAATTATTTCAAAACAGGCGGTTTTGTTAACGTTACACTTTCCTTGTCTATGGATTTCGATAGTATAACGTCGTTGATTCCAAACAAAACGAAACTATAGCAACATGTCATAGTTATCAAAATTCTAATTTCCCTTGACAAAGTTAATAATTGACAGTTGACACGTAGTCATGATAACATTGTTTTGTTTGGAAACAAATCGCTTAGCGCTGTTACAAGTTTTACAGAGTTTAAAAAAATCTACGGATATACAAGATTTAAGTAAATGCGATTTAAGCTCGGTGATATGGTTGCGAATAGATTCAGGTGTAGTTTGATCTACTTTATGCTTCATGAAAAATAAATTAGATATTAAACAGAAAATAAAGTTAATTTCGTTCTAAAAACTGAACCTTCTCGTAACTTAAATCTTGTACATCAGTCGAATTTATTTAAACTCGATAAAACTTGAAAATACATTTGGCGCCCAACGTGGGGCTTCGGAAAATTTTCAATTCGATATTAAAAATGATACTTGGAAATTAATTATATGTTTTAACGTCTTGCTTGCTGATCGGGTGTACCCGCTTTGTTTTTGTTTGTGCAGAACTTCACCTGGGGCCGTCTTGTGGACGTCTTCTTGTGCTAATCCAAAAGGGGAAACGCTTTGTGTGTACCGGTAAGCTATATTTCTCGATAATTATGTTTCAGTTCCTCATTTTCGGAAGATGTTGTTCGTTACCATATTGGAAGGTAACGAGTTTATTAATCGAACCAAGGAAATTGGCAATTTCAACCCCAAAAAAGGTAATTTCCCAATCTTTAGATAATCAATTTTTATTTCTACCGTAGGTACTTAGGAAATGTTTAAAGATAAACCAATCCAGTGCTGCTTAAATGAAAATTTGAAGTTACTAGATATCTCAAAGAAGTACTAGCTTTGTCAAAAAAAGTACTAGATATCTCTAAAAAGTACTAAACTTTAAAAATTAATAAATGTATTGAATTGTACCATTTTAAGGTCAAAAAGTTCTCGGTTTCGTCAAGAAAAAGGCGGGAATCAGATTTCAAATTGAATTGATTCATGTTAAAGATCTTTAAGAAATCATCGTTTCACACTCGTTCTTTTTTATTTTCATGTTCCTTAGATTAAAACAAGTGAGTTGATTTTTTTGCTTTCAAGTACATATCTAGTAAAGTACTAGTTTTGTCAGCAATGACGTGAATAAAACTCGAACATGGCTACGGTGTTAAATATAAGATATGGTGTTTCAAATATTCAAAAAAAAATTGGCTAAAATTGATTAGGGTATTAGTAAAAATCCGCTAAGTTCGCTAGTGTCTTACGTCATAAAAATTACAGTTCCTGACAGAAGTACAGTCGTGCAAATCAGAGTTTATTTTAGCTATAATCAAGTTAAAAAGTAAAGATAAAGTTTTACCAAGGGGAAAAATGAAAAAAACGGGTTATCCAGACATAATCCTACTTAATGAAACTTGAATAAAGGAAGATTATAGGTTAATGTGTAGAGGTTACCAAACATTGAGAAATGATAGTTTGGATGGCTATGGAGGTATAGCCTGTTTAATTAAAAACAATTTAGATTTTCAGCCTCTTCTAATAGATTACTCTCTAGATCTTCCAACTCAAGTTCAAGCCATCTATCTCCCCAATTAAATTTAGTGAATATTTATTGCCCAGGAGACCTTATTTACAAAAATAACTGGTCTAACTTTATTCAGTCATTTAACAAATCTCTTTTGATTATGGGGGACTTAAATTGTAATCATGTGTTTTGGAGAAGCTCCTCAAATAGCTCAAACGGTAAAAACAATAAATTCTTTAGATTCTTTACAATTAGTGTTTTTAAATGATGGCACTCCTACACGAATTTCTCCACCAAATGGCGGTAAATCTGTCGTTGATTTAACCTTTTTTTTTTTTCAATAGATAAATCAACCTGGGAAGCGATTCCGGATTTGGGCTTTAGTGACCATTTCCCTACCAAATGTTAGATAGGAATCCCTAATAATGGCCTAACAATAGAAGAAACTTTTACAAGGCAGATTGGAATTCTTACTTTAATAAACTGATTACTCTTATTCCTTCCTTACTTAAAGATAGTTATTATGAGTTCATATCTATAATAAATCAAGTAGCTGATACTACTATTTCCTTCTTCAAGCCTAACAGGAATGTTAAATATCATATCCCTTGGTGGGCTGATTCATGTAATGAACTTGTATCAAACAGGGTAACCTCTATTAGAAATTTCATGGAAAGTCCAAATTTAGATAATTACATTCAAGTTAAAAAAAATATAGCTACAACTAGAAAAGTTCTCAAATCCAAACGAAAAAATAACTTTAGGATGTATTGTAGCTCCCTCAATCGTCATTCTTTCCTGAAGTCCATTTGGAATAAAATTAATAACATTTCTGGTTTAAAACAAAATCTCTCGAATCTAATGCCTACCCAATCGATTGCGCAAGAAATCTTTAAACATTTTTTCTCCTTCTTCCCTGGAAAATGTGTGCCAAATTAATAGCTTATCTCATTCAGAATCCCCCTTTATTTTTAATGAATACTCAAGTGTGTTAAATTTGAAACGAGACTCTTCTCTAAGCTTAGATCTTATTTTATACTCTATGCTAAAAAAATTTCCTCGTTCAGGTTCCTTGTTTCTTCTGAGTATCTTTAATAAGTGTCTTTTAACAGGCTCAATTCCTCAACAATTCTGCCTATAATTAAGTCAAATAAGGATAAAATGGTAGTTTCAAATTATAGGCCTATTTCCCTTTCCTCTTGCGTAGGCAAAGGATTAGAATCCTTAATCAAAAATCGACTTGAATAGCATTTGGAAAATAACCAAATTCTTAATCCCTTGCAATTGGGCTTTAATGCAAATATTCTCCCTTAATGAATTTACTCTTGGTCTCTTCATTGATATTTCTGCTGCATATGATTCAGTTAATATTCCTCGATTATATTCCATTTTACTAGATGCAAATGTCTCAGTGGATTTGGCCAATTTAATACATTCCTTTTTAGCCCAAAGAGAACTATTTACTCGAGACAATTTGGGCCACATCCATGGTCCTCAAACTACTAATCAAGGCCTTCCTCAAGGTTCTCCGCTCAGTCCCATTTTGTTTAACCTTTATACCTTGTCTCTATTTGATATTCTGCCTAATAATTTTAAATTAATTCAATATGCTGATGATCTGGTAATACTGGTTAATGGATCGAATGTTTACAATATGATTCCACGTATCAACTCCTTTTTGCTTAAATTAGAGTCCTGGTTGGAAAAACTTAACCTTAATCTTTCATTGCATAAAACTTCGGCAATTTAATTCACTAAAGGGGTAACTAAAATTACTTTACCTAATATCATCTATAAATCTCAAATCATTCAATGGAAAGATAAAGTTAAATGTCTGGGGATAAGCATTCATAAGAATCTTAAATGGAATTCTCACTTTAATGATTTAAATGTTAAGATCAATCGTAACCTCAATGTTATGCGTGCTCTCTGTGGGACTTGGTGGGGATGTGACCCACAAATATTAAGAATTTTACATAAATCATTTTGTCCCTCTTGGATTATAAATGTCAAATTATAATACCGTGTTCCCAGGATATACAAAAGAAGTTAGATACACTTCAGAACCAAAGCCTTCGTATCATCACAGGGTGTATGAAATCTACCCCAATTCTAGCCTTATTGATAGAGACAGGTGAAATCCCCCTTAGATTTAGAAGATAATGGCTATCCCTTAAGTACCTAATTAAAAATATGTCTTTGGTAAACAATCCCATTATCACTGCTTTAAGAAAACTAGAAAGATTATGTGGAGTCTCTACCTACTGGAACAACAAAAGTAATCCTCTACTAATCCAGCTCATCAGTCAATTCGATGTCGTGAATCCTCACTTATATACTTCAGAGCATTTACCATGTTATAAATTTGATTTACAACCCCAATTGGCCTCCACTCCTATCGTAAACATTGGCGCTAATCTGAAAGTATAGGACTTTTACAATATCAGAATATCATCAGGAAATACCCATCTTACACCAAGTTCAATAGACTCTTCCGGTCATTCAGGGTTTGGAGTGTATAGTCCAAATATAGATTATGCATTCTCAAGTAAGATTCCTTTCCATACTCAAATTTGTACAGCTGAAGTTGCAGCTATCAACAAGGCCTTGCAAGTAATATTAGACAAAAACATCGTTCAATCCATTATACTTTCAGACTCCAAAGCTGCACTTCAAAAAATAGCAAGATCATGCTTTTCCAGAGAAGCTGAACATTGTTCCTTCTTGACCAAGGACGATATCTTACTCGCAAAAGATGAACATATCAAAATAATTCTGGCATGAATTCCAGGCCACTCTGGGATTCTGGGTAACTTCAAGGCAGATCAATTGGCAAATATAGGAAGATCTCTGAATATTCTAGTGAATATCAAATTAAACTATCATAATTTCTTTCCATTCATCAGGAACATTGTGAATTCAAGATGGCTTGAAGAATGGAATAGCCTCAAGAGTAGGAAGAATTCCTTTTATTCTAAAGTCGTTCCACGATTTGATAAAATCCCTTGGTTTTTAAATTTTCCCTACAAGGACAGAAGACATTTTACTACAATAATTAGGATGAGGACAGGACATTGCCTATCCCCATATCACTTATTTCGTATAGGAGTAAAAGATGATCCATTTTGTAAGTGTGGTCAAATTGGCTCATTAAACCACATTATCTTTGAATGTCCCATAAATATGATAGCAAACTTTGATTTATACTCTGAACTGGCAAAAACTAACCTTTCTACTCCCTTTGTTCAATCTCTTGAATGTAGGTGTAGGATGCGGCAACACTCCACCGTGCCGCACCAGAAGAAGACGTGGCATCGCCGCCAGGGTGCCTTTGCCCGAATCTGAAAAGCGTGCAGGCACTTGACTTTAAAAAGTACCTGCGACCCTTCTTTGTTGCGTCGAGGAACATTATTACTAAAACCCTACAGCTAATTGGTTTATCTTTTTCTTTTGTATTTAAATATTTCAAAGTGAATAAATTTTTATTTCTCTAATTTAAGCAATATTTTTTGTTCGAAAAATAATTGACGTATTACACGTTATACACCCTTTGACATTTGTTTTATGTTGGCTAACCTCAATAATAGCAGATTAAACATTCTAATCAAATTTTTAAATATATTTAAAATTCAATTTTAACCCTAATACTTTATCCTCTCTTTCAGTCCTGGGTGTTCCTTCTATTTAGCGTTGGCAGTTTTCTGGTTGTGTTCAGCTTGGCGACTGCCCAAGCGAGAACAGTTTTTATCCTGTGTTGTGACGTCTATGTACTAACTTTGTATGCCCCTCTACGTATACAACTCAAGTAGTAACGTTAATAAGCTTTATACTTTGAAATATATAAATATATCAATTTAATGGAGGGTATCCAATTGCTGAGAGCAAGACAAGGATACTCTCTCCGTTGTTGGCTGGGTAAATTATTCTGTAGGATATAGCCCAATAAAGGAAGAAGAGAAACCGGTTATGTCTATTGGAAAAATGTGAATGCACTTAAAAATGACAATTCCGGCTATTCATAGACAGTTCCACCTTTCCTGGTGGCTAACTTGCACATTTGACAGTTCGAAATTCTTTATGGTTTATGTAACATTTTGCTCATGTCCTTCGCTTTGGTACCAATGCTAACGACTTACCGTGCAATCTTTTGATGGATTTATTTTTCTTTGCATAACCCCAAATGCATGTGACATATACTATTTAATTTCTTACTTTATTTAGGTTTCTGTTTATGAATTCTTCATGTGCTATAGGATAAATCTTTTAGTTTTTCAGCAGTAATTTTGATAAGTTAAACATTGGATTTTTTCTATAAACAATCTTTTTAAATTTGTTAAATGATGAACATATTGGGTATGTTCATAAAGTAAATAATTTAAAAGGTGTTAAACATTGCAAATATTTCTTGGCCTAATTTATTATAAAGAAACATAAGTTTGAGGTTTGTTTTTTATTTATTTCCTCATTTACTGAATTTGTGGGGAAATGCTAGCATAGATTGGCCAATATTGAAAGTCGGTTGGTGCCCCTTCAATTCGTCTTCTATTTCCGGGATTTTTGTAAAGCTATCCACCCTCTAGCTACCGTGTGAATGACACTGAAATAACCGAAACGTATGTGACCGGGTAGAACATTTTTGTAGGTAAATTCTTTCTTTAAAAAAAAAGTTCAGTCTGAGGCAGTTTCCCTCGCTGGAAGTTGCGGAATTCACTTGGTAAACTTATTTGCTCGATTGTACTTCTGACAAAAAAATGAGCCGCCTTTTTTCCCTGAAAGCTCTAGTATTGTCAGGGCCAAATGGTGATGATCCACATTCAAAAATTACAGGACATCCGATTTTACCTATAAAGTAACCAATAAAATGCAATAGTGACTAATGAAACGATGAAAATGTTTTAAAACATTACCGTGATCATACCTAATCTGTCATTATTGAAATTAAAAGGAGAATAGTTTATCGATTCTCAAGAATCGATATATTTTCGATTGTAAAAAATCAGATTAAACGTCTAAAGTGAAAATATATTGAAATATACCTAATAAAACAATTGAATTTTAAGATGCAATGTAGAAATTAGGTAACTTGATTTAAATTTTACAAAAAAATCATGACATTATCGTTAACTATCGGTAAAAACAGTTAATAAATGAATTTTAATAGGCAAACCTCCCAACGACAACGTCTATTGCAAAGTATGCCTGGGCAATCAAGAACAAGAAACCGACGTTGCCAAAGAGAACCTCATCAACGGCAACGCCGCGCAGAACGGCGTTCCGCAAATACCGTCGTTAGTGTGGAACTACAGCATGCAGTTCCAGCTGAGGAACATCAACCAGGAAATTTTAACCTTTTCGGTGTACAAGCAAAACCATTTTAGCCCGGATGGTAAGAATAGACGGTCTCGAAAACGTTTGTACGCTTAGGTTATGTTTGTTTTTTAGATTTCCTGGGCAGAGCCGAATTGAAAGTGAAAGACGTTCTTAGAGAGTCGCAAAATCATAATGGACCGATCACGAAAAAGCTCATTCTTCACCAAGTAGAGTCGGGTGAAATTATAGTAAAATTAGATTTACATTTATTCGATAATTATTAGAACGAAAGCAATGTTTACACATTTTTATAAACAAAATATGCATTAGACGTGAACGTCCATAATGTGTCAACTGTCAATTAAGTGTTAAATGTCATTGTTGTATAGGAGTGGGCAAAATAATTGATTATTAATCGATTAGTCTTTCATTTTTTTAGATTTTTTTTTAATTTATCGATTATATTCGATTTTTACCGATTAATCGAATAACAAAAAAATGTGTTGTGGGCAAAATGTTCTTTGAAAATTATGCTAAAATTTAAGATTTTATTTATTTTCATTGAAGGAGTGCTTTATAAGCTAAATTAGATTAAAAATTTACTAATAATCGATAAATTAATAATCGATTATTCGGAAATAATCAATTTAACGATTATTCGAAAATTATCAATTTTCTGATCGATTATTTTCACTAAATCGATTGATCGAAAGTAGCCGATTAATCATTTATAATCGAATATTTGAAATAATCGATAATCGCCCTGCCCTATTGTTGAGGTACTATTCAATAAAAAGCAATGCTCTCTAACAACACATTAAAGTATTTTATGACAGTTCGAAACAAGATAATAGTAAAAAGAAAAACTATACTTGCCAAATACATGTTCATATTTTTGACAGATATTTAATGCTCTTCAATGTCAATATTTTGACAGTTATCTCTTCTTCGATGTCAGATATTTAGGCAGCTGTCTTATGCTCTCAAGTTTCAATATTTTGACAGCTTTTATATACGATTTAGCGTAATTATCATGACAACTGACAGTTGTCTTAAGCTCGCCCAGTGACAATATACCGACAGCTTTATTATGCTCTCCAGTGTCAATATAAATCGATTTAGTTATATAAATCGATTAATATGTTCTTGACATTTCGTAAACATTCTAATTAAATAATGCATTTATAACAATTCTAATTACATAATCACCTTACAATCAATTTTACTAATAATAATAATTATCAATATTTACGTGTTTTTTGCATCTTGTTATACAACGTATATCTGTTATATTTTACCGTTATACTATATATTGCCAGTTTATATTATTCATAGTACGTTAAAAGTGGTTTATATTTAAAAAAACCTGTCAGTATTATATGGTTAGTTGTTTTTTTGTCAATGTGTGTTTTATTTTAAAACATTACCTTATATCCCAGTCCTCGCAAAACATGACGTCGCGTTACAAGGTTGTTCATAATGAGGTTACGGCAGTTCTGAAAGTTTGCAAACTGCCGTGATCTGTCAATATCGATTACTATGTGAACTTGCTGAATAAATAATAATCTTAATTGCTTAAAAAACAAGGTTTATAGCGGTACAATGAGTATAAAATCATTGAGTTTTCCCCAGATTTAGGGAAATTTGGGAAATCCGGCAACAACGCATCGTTTCAAAATCAATAGTAAACTAATCTACGAGACATGCGTAAACGTATCTGGGAAAATATGGAAAATCTAGCAACATCGCAATAGAGGACTTCTATACAAGGGAAGGGCAACCAACTTGACAAAATAAAATTGACACTAATGACATAAGAAATCGGGTCACATAAAGAGACTGTTTTTTAGTTTGATTTTTGGTTTTTCCTATCTACTTTCATGCCATTTGCATACCTTGTTGTACCCGTAACGTGAAAAAGACTATTTAGTTTAGAGTATTTTACATTTAAAGGTTGAAATATTTTGTCATTGTCAGCTGTCAATTATGTTGATGATAGAACACAGGCGTAACCATAGATGGGCATAAGTAACTAGTATTGTATGTTGGTTGTATATTTTATAGAACTTGTATTCGTAGCAGCAGCATTTTGCAATCGACATAAATAAATAAAACCAAATGAAAAATAATGTTTCGAGAAAGCAGGAGAAACACAATTAGACTAATAACAACAAAAAATAAAATGCAATGCTACGCTTATGTTTTGACATTATCGACAGCTGATATTGACAAACGTTTTCAACCTTTAAATGTAAAATACCCTAAAATAAAAAGTCTTTTTCACGTTACGGGTACAACAAGGTATGCAAATGGCATGAAAGTAGATAGGAAAAACCAAAAATCAAACTAAAAAACAGTTTCTTTATGTGACCCGATTTCTTATGTCATTAGTGTCAATTTTATTTTGTCAAGTTGGTTGCACTTCCCTTGTATAGAAGTCCTCTATTCGCGGTATGGTGAGTATATTAGAAAAGGAAAAAGAAGAAAACGTGAAAACGAAAAAACTCATTAATAGATGATGGGACACTATAATACAAAATAATTGATTTTTCCCCATATCTGGAGAAATTAGAGAAATCTAAAAACAACGCACTGTTTTAAAATCATTGATAAAGTAGCCTACGAGGTATGCGTTTACGTATTGCTAGTGAGTATATTAGAAAGGTAAAAGAACATGAAAACGAAAAAACTGTCATTAGTAGATAATAGGAGACTAGAATACAAAATTGGTTTTCCCCAGATCTAGAAAATTTGGGAAATCTGGCAACACTGCACCGTTTGAAAATAAATAGTAAACTATCCTACGAGACAAGCGTTCACGTAGCTGGGGAAATTTGGGAAATCCAACAACATCGCAATTCGCGCTAGTGCGTATATTACAAAGGTAAAAAAAAACATAAAAACGAGAAAACAGTTATTAGTAGATTATGGGACACTAGAATACAAAATTGAGTTTTCATCAGATCTAGAAAAATTTGGGAAATGTGGCAACAACGCACCGGTTGAAAATCAATGATAAACTAACCTACGAGACATGCGTTCACATATCTGGGAAAATTTGTAAAATTTAGCAAAATCGCAATTTGCGTGGAGTAAAAAAACATGAAAACGAAAAAACAGTCATTAGTAGATGATGGGACATTAGAATACATCATTCAGTTTTCCTCAGATCTAGGAAAATTTGGCTACAACGCACCGTCTGAAAATTAATGATAAATTAACCTACGAGACATGCGTTCACGTATCTGAGGAAATTTGGGAAATCTAGCAACATCGCAATTCGCGCTACAGTGAGTATATTAAAAAAGAAAAAAACATGGAAACATAAACAAACAAGAGTCATTTCTAGAAGATGGGATACTATAATACAAAATCATTGATTTTCCCCAAATTGGGGAAATTCGGGAAGTCTGGCAACAACGCACCGTTTCAAAATAATTGGTAAACACATGCGTTCACGTATCTGGGGAAATCTAGCAAAATCACAATTTCCGCTACAGCGAGTATAATGGAAAAGTAAAAAAAAATATGAAAACGAAAAAACAGTCATTAGTAGATAACGGGACACTAGAAAACAATATCATTAAGTTTTCCCCAGATCTAGGGAAATCTGATAATGCACCGATTGAAAATCAATGGTAAACTAACCTACGAGACATGCGTTTACGTATCTGGTGAAATTTGGGAAATCTAGCAACATCACAATTCGCGTTACAGTGAGTAAAAACATGAAAACAAAAAACAATAATTAATATTTGATGGGACACTATAATAAAAAAATCAAATTTTTTAAAAAATTTCATAAATATCTTAAATGAAAAAACATTCTAAAGTTCTTTCTTCTCTTTATTTTTTACTGCTGTGCTCCTTGTGGTCTCTGCTGGTTCTGCTTCGCTCGGTCTCTGCGTCTGTCATTTAATATGCAGATAAAAATCTTCCGTTTTATTTTTTTTTAAATTTTTCATTTAATTTCTCTCTATACAAAATACTAAATTCCAACTTAGTATTAACAAATTTTTAAACAATTAACTATTTTCTAAAAAAATCCAACTATAACACTTTTGAATCCACTTGATTTAATCTAATTTAATTTTTTTTTAAACGTTCACCACCCCAGTTTTGACAAATAAAAATAAGAAAGGTATTTCTGATTTTTATTAACTTAATTTTCAAGTTCAAATAACTAGATCTTTTTTACACCTTTCTGGAAAATTATGTATATTTTCCATTCTTGTTTTGCCCTTTGTTATTTTCGTAATGTGGTCTATTTTCATTTATATTAGTTAAAATAAAAATGGATGGTAGAGGTAAAACAGCGCCCTTTTTTATTGTAGTTATTTTATTAAATTTCGAGAAGCTTCTTAGTTGTTTATTTCATGTGCCTATTTTTCTCCACTTATGATTGGTCGCAGCCTGTCGAGTAATTCATGCATGTCTTCTTTAATAGTTGCGTTGCGACCGTTTCAGTAAATTAAGGTTTGTAAGAAAAAAAATACAATAATATAATTAAACATTGTATTTAAATCCAGCCTTTCTAAATCAATAAATTAAACATACATAATCAAATTTAACACTTTTCTCACTTTATAAATAAATAATTAAATAAATAAAACGGAATTGGATTTAACAAAATAACACTGTTGTCGAATTTATTTCGTTAACTACAATACCGCAAAGTTTAGGCTGTTTTTACCATTACTTTTGGCGAAACAGACGTTATATTGGTAGACTGCTTGAAAAAAATAATATAATAGCTCGACTGGTAAAAACAGCAACATTGTCAAGCCTTAAGGAACTTCCAGACTATGTCGAATGAAATCATTCGATTCGATGTGCAGAAAGAGTCGCCTGCAATTCGAGCGACACCATTCGATATAATCTGAACGCACCTTTAATAGAAAATCTTAGGTCTCAATTATACTAAATTGTAAATAAAAATGGAAAATGTGCAGGTTATTATATGAATGGGATGGTAAATGTAAAATATGGAATCATAAATGATGATTTGATAACTATAGATGGCGTTATTAGCTCCAATAATTCATATCAGTAGTTATACAAAATATCAAGAGTAGGTGACGGTAGTTTCATACATCGATCTCTTGTGATTCAAGTATTGATTACGAAAAACCCTGTGTATTACATACTATATTTATTATACCAATAAATTCTTAAAATTAATAAAATTACCAAACTTAATCGTCGAATGGTTTTTTTATTACATAAATCCGAAGTCGAATAATAATTTACTTCAGAATTATATTTTTTCATTTGCATTAATGGCAGTTTTACTAAATTTAACTACAATACAAACAAAAATATGAATAAAAGTGCCATTAACTTCTAGATCTATCCCTCCTATCACCTTTTAATTTTTTATTAGATTTATTACACTGTTTAACAGCTATCGTTTTACGTCAAACTCCGATTTAAGATTTGATGGTGTTCATAAAAGTCGTTTTTATAAACTACCCCTTATTGTTTTGATGAAATGTTTCAGTCAAGATAATTTCTACAAGTTTTTAATGTAAATAATTAAGATATTACGGAATCGTGGATGGGCCACGAAATATATATTTTTATTTTTCGAATTATAACTGAAAAAAATGAATTATTCCGATTTAGAACTCGGAAAAACCGATTTTACCGACTTTAAAACTCGGTAAAATAGATTATACTCCGACTTAGAACTCAGAAAATAGTTTTTTCTGTCTTACATCTCGAAACAATAGATTATTCCGACTTAGAACTCGGAAAATCGATTTTTCTGACTTACTACTCGGAAAAATAGAATATTCTTACCTTAGAACTAGATTATTCCGACTTAAAACTCAGAAAAATATATTTTTCTGACTTTAGAACTAAGAAAAATCGATATTTTTACTTACAACTCGGAAAAATACATTATTCTGACTTAGAACAAGGAAAAATAGATTATTATAACGTAGAACTCGGAAAAATGAATTTTTCTGATGTACAACTCGAAAAAATAGATTATTCCGACTTAGAACCCAGAAAAATAGATTTTTCTTACTTAGAGCTCGGAAAAATTGATTATTCCGACTTAGAACTTGGAATATAAATTATTCCGACTTTAGAATTCGGAAAATCGATTTTTCTGACTTACAACTCGGAAAAAATAGATTATTCCGACTTAGAACTCGAAGAAATAGATTATTTCGACAGAAAAATGGATTTTTCTGACTTAGAGCTCAGAAATATCGATTTTTCTTACGTATAACTCAGAAAAATAGTTTATTCCGAATTAGAACTCGGAAAAATTGATTATTTCGAATTAGAACTTGGAAAAAAATTGATTATTCCTATTTAGAACTCGGAAAAATTGATAATTCCGATTTAGAACTCGGAAAAATAGATTATTACGGCTTTAGAATTCGAAAAAATCTATTTTTCTGACTTATAACTCGGAAAAAATAGATTATTCTGACTTAGAAATAGATTATTTCTACAGAAAAATATTTAGATTTTTCTGACTTAGAGTTCAGAAATATCGATTATTTTTACGTATATCTCAGAAAGATAGATTATTCCGAATTAGAACTCAAAAAATTGATTATTCCGATTTAGAACTGAGAAAAATAGATTTTTTTGACTAAGAACTCGGAAGAATAGATTACTCCGACTGAGAACTCCGAAAATAGATTATTCCGACTTTAGAACTCGGAAAAATAGATTATTACGGCGTAGAATCTATTTTGCCGAGTTGTAAGTCAGAAAAATCGATTTATCCCAGATCTAAACCTAAGTAATCGATTTTTCCGAGCTCTAAGTATGAAAAATCGTTTTTTCCGAGTTCTAAGTCAGAAAAATAAAAAAATATATATGTTTTGTGGCTCTGATCAATTTTTACACGATTGTCAAAGTTCCTAACAACCTCCATTCGATTTGAAGTTGTCAAAAAACAGTGTTGTGACAGAAATGTGGATTTTCATGTTTTTTGGATCATAAATCGCTAGTAAGTACCGATTTTGTAGTATCGCCATGCATTAGAGTCAATATATAATGAAAATTTTGACAGTAACGGTATCAAATTAAATCAATTCAAAATAGAAATATCGTTAATAAATATCGCTACTATAAAAATATATACATGACAGATTACGTCATACACTATCTATCAATAGGCATTTCAACGACCTGTCAAAATGCTGCCCGTGAATAATGACAGGTTACGATATGGCAACCCTGTGGGCCTGTTGTCTTTGACAGGATCAATGATACTTATATAGACTGCTCAAAGCGGATCGTATTTTTTACAAGTGCTCATGAATCAGAATCGATTTAACAAAAATTAATTTTCAGCTTTGAATATAGTAAAAAAGAATTATCTGTATTTTTACTTTAAGTTATAAACTTATGTTTATTTTGAGAAAACATGGATGATCAATCTACATAACTAACTACATTGACCCTGTCAAATCACCAGGCCCACAGTGTTGCCATGTCATAAGCTGTTATTATCCACGGACAGCCATTTTGTTTGGAATATCTAATTCTCCACGAATTATTTTCCGTAAACAATTATTATCAGTCATTTCACTAAACACGACAGAACACAGAACATTATAAATCAGTCAGTTATTCTTCTCTGTCGTTGATCTTCGTTTCGATGAATTTCTTGTCGTCATCGGGAAAGTTGAAAATCGGTTTGAAACCGCCCTCGAGCTGCGGTTTGAAATTTTCTATGTCGAATTCGCTGGTAGTGGCATACGGCATCGTCGTCACGTCCGGTGATTCCGTCGTTGTGCTGTTCTTGGTGGTTTTAACCACGGACCATCCCTGGCTCCTGGTGTTTTCGATGTTGAGGCTAGCCTAAAGAGAACGAATAGTTACTTTAAAGGTACAGCCACAGACTATTCAATACCAGCTGGCATTAAATTGAATGTTTGCGCATCGTGTGTTGCGCATATTGCTTGGCAGTCAGACATTTGTTGTTATTTTATCTATTTCGGAAATTTTTAATACTATGTTTATTTGCCTAATAACGAATTAATGCGTTATGTTATGGACGCACTATAGAAAGGTAAGTTTCTTTAATACTTGAGCCTGAAACAAGTGGTTTTAAATTAGTGTAGCTATTAGTTCTTGTACTCTATGAAATTCGAGTTTTATTTTACAGCATTACATTTGGCAACGTCTCAAAATGCACAACTTCGATTATAATGTATTAAGATACAAGTGATCACTTCGAAAAACTGAAACAAACAGTACTCCGCTCTTCTAGTCATTGCATATTAGATAACTATAGCTTCGTTCGCGGTAACAATCCTGAACTGATTCAGAATTACTAATTCACACTTTGAGCTCATGCCCCATTCATTATCAATTCTGAATTTTTACCGCGCGCGCAATCCCTAATATATCTCGGTGTTTCAGGTATAGACAAACGGTTCAAAACCAAAAATAATTTTACCGCGAACGCAGGATAGAACCAGTAGTTCAGTTCTTTTTGTTCCGAGAACGCTTTTTAACTACTGCGCCTGCGAAATCATTACTATTAGTAATAATTCGGTTCAGGATTCTTACCGCGAACAAAGCTATATCTGTGTCATATTGTACACTTTTAGGTAGATAGGGAATAACCCCGAACGACTTCGGGACATCATCTTACCTGAAACGGCGCTTCAAAATCCAATTTGGGATAATCCGGCACGACGTCTACATCATTTCGATGATTCGAGCCCAGATCCAGTCGGTGCACGTTCTCCACGCTGCCCACCATCGCGTTCTGGTTCTGCTGATGAGTGTGCATGACGGCGCTGACGGTGAACACCTTATTCCCATCGCTGGGCCGGATTTCCGGGATGACGGGACTGCCGTAATTGGGCATCGAATATTTATCGGCGTTGAGGTTCGGTTCCGTCGGAGTGTACGCCACTGCTATCGGTTTGTCCGAGTTAGTTCGAAGGGTTACTGAGATTTGGTTATTCAGACCTAAAAAAAAAGAAATTCACGACTCCTCTGGGTATATGAATCGATTGGCTTAGAATTACCGCCGATATCTCAGATAAAAATAAGGGTTTATATTGTAAAAGGCTTGAAAGTTTATACCGATTATCGTACATCTTTTAAATAGTGCTTTGATAGGCCAAAACCTAGTGGAACTCTAATTCCCATGCTTTAATTCAAAGTGTATATTATATTTAACACGATTTAATAAACATTACAAACCATTTACATTAATAATGAATATCACAAAAAGAACGTTGATTGAATGGATTATTATTGAAGTATTAATTATTTAATTATTAAGTTTGGCATTTAGGGATGGGCTAGCTTGATGTATTAATAAAATATGTTGGATGCATTTCCAACAGAGCTTATAAAATAAACTTACCCGCTATTTTATTTCCGTTTCCATTGACTATCCTAGATTCGTAATTATCTCCGATGGTGTTCCACTGATTGCTCAAAAAATAATCGGGCTCATCCAAGTCGTTTCCAGTTTTGGATGGGGTGTCGGGTACTGAGGGAAGGTTGATGCTCGGATCCGCCCCTGGTCGTTCCAGGGGGTACGGAAAATCCGATTTGATAGGGAAGGTGGGAGGTTTGTGGGGTTTTAATATGGGATCGTCGTTTCTGTCTTTCGTGTCGAACAAAAGATCGAAATTCTGGTTGATTTTCGATGGAGGAAGGGGCCGTTCTGATCTCGTACCTGTAATAATAATAATTATCACATTTTAATTTATGCCATAGTGGATGGATAATTTTTAATACTGTGATAAGTGATATTCGATACCAGCATAATATATTATGTGAAGATTTTCGCGTGCGCTTCAGGTAGTTTTCAAACATATTTTCAAAGAACTAGAAGAGACCTAACAGTTATGTCTGTCATGTCTGTCCTAACATTCAGTGTTGCCAATACAACTCGTGACGACACCACTTTTTTTGCAGACCGTGATAGTCGTGACGACAAAACAAAGTTGGTAATACGTATTTATTCCAAGAGAAAACAAGTTGCCATGCCAACGATGTCATATGTCATTATTATCTGTCATACTGTCGTAAACAAATACAAATATATTTGGTTTATTACAAATTTCAATAATAAAATTCAAACAAAAAGTGTAGAACAGAATTGTAATGTATTTATAATGGTTTTTCTTGTATAAACATTGAACATTTAGTATTTTATGTAAAATAATTTAAATGTTAAGCACAACAGTGCTTCTTTATAAATAAGATTAATATAGAATTTTATTCTTGTACGCTATATTAGTATGACGTAATTTGTGTTCCAATGACAGTTGCATTTTAACAAAAACAAACCATTCTGTCATTGAAATTGACATATACGTTTTTAGTTAATTGTAGGTCATAAAATATGTAGTTTAACTTGTTTTACTTTATAATAAATGCAAAAGTATGCATTCTTTTCTTACTAGTTCTCAAACTGTTTTTTCCATTATTTCTTTTAAACAAAGATATATCAGAAAGACATACATAGTAAATTACATGTAAATATGTCATACTTTGATTAGAATGTTTTATGTTTGTTAGAACAAGTGGCAATGTTTATAAAACGTTTTTTCTTATTTCCCAAAAGTTTTTGAATGTACTGAAACCTTTAGTTAAGAGAAACAAAACTTTACAACAAATTATAGGATAATTTAAAATAGATTGAATCTAAAAAGCAAACCACATTTAAAGTTTTGACAACTATGACAGGTAACAGCATTAACACAGCCATTGTCTTCACATAGTTACTTTGATTTGTTTAGAATAAATTACGGCATTGTCCATTATATTATGTACCAATTTTAGTAAAATTTAGGCGCAATATTAGTTACCAAGAATACTCACCTATAACAACAGTTTCCTTTTTATTACTGTCATCGATAACATCGAGTTTGATCGGTGCCGAATTCACCGGATACACCTTATAAATCGTTTTATCACCAATATTAATATCCTTATGGCTATCATCTTCGTTGGCCTGTACATTCATCACTTGCGTTACCATGGCACTGCCGCCATCTTTGGTAGGCGTATTTTTCTTCTCCGAACTTTTCGCTTGGATCATTTGTAACGTCTCCACTTCCATGACGTCGGCGTCGCTTCGTCTGTTGGCAATTTTTACTTGGGGTGGCGTTTGATACAAGCCTGTTTGATCTTCGTTTAGAATTCGGTCTTCAGCACCTTTACCTTAAGAAAAAAAAAAGGAGAAGAAGCAATCATAAACAGTCACCGACCGACAGGATGCTGCGCAGTAGCTTGTTATCTGCTAGAAATATTCTACCGCGCAGAATCCTGACAATTGAAGCATGTGGGCAGCTCGTGACAGTTAACTAGTAGGCTATGTGCTTCCCAGAGAGCATATTGGTACAGTTAACGTATTTCTAATTTAAATTTGGTATTAGTGTAATAATTGACATATTAGTGTAATTCTAGAGAATCAATAAACATTTCCGTATAACAGAAATGTTTTAAATAAAAATTCAATCAAAAGTAATGTACCAACATAAACCAAACAATTAGGTCAAGGCTTAAAAAACCACGGAATTATTCAAATGTTAATGTTCTCAAAGAAGACGATGTAATCAAAGTGTGTTCGGATCACATACTTTGATTTTCTTTTACTATACGGAGAATAGTCGCACTGCGCAGCTTTCTGAGTGCCTTTTAAAAGGAGATAGAAAACTCCGCCATTTTGATCCCTTATTACGTGTTGCCTACATCTTGGTGCAATATTTTTAATAGGTGTGTTTTAATCATCCGCTTCTGATTCGGAATTGTCGGTTTTCTTGTTTTAATCTGGCAGGTTAAAATGACTAAACCGACAATTCCGGAAGCAGAAGCGGATGATTAAAACGCACCTGATATTTTGCTTGCTGCTGTCAGTGAATATTATTTTTGGAGTCACAGTTTATTGCTAAAGAATCAGCTCACTCGGACCAGTTGAAAGTTCCAAAATAACATCCACTCCAGGGATACAAATTCAGGATACGCAGAAGACTGCTGTTTTATTATAGGCGGTTGTCATATATTGTATTATCCGAGTTGCGCAGTGTATAAACTGGAACATTGTCGGACCTCTCTTTTACACCGTATAGTAATCAAAGTATGTGGGTTCGTATAAATCATCGAGATAGAATGAAGTAGAGATGACATAAACACTATTTTGCGATATGACAGATGGACGCACTTCGAGTGACGGAAAAATGTAATTAAAATGGCGACTTATGTCGTACTTTGATTTATTTGAAATCAGTAATGTTATATTTGAAGACTGACAAAATAAAAATGATTTTATATAATTTAAATAATTCTATTTAAAACAAAATGGCATTTATTCTCACCAAAACTGCCTAGCCCCACTAGCTCCAGTTTGACAAATGACGAAAAGTGTAATGCACAGGTGCGGTCACTTTATCGTAGTCTTAGCAGCTCCTTTTTATTCTATCTCAATGGTATGAATATACTGCAACGATACATCTAATGTAGACGTATAATTAAAAACATATAATTATTACCCAATAAACACAGTTAATCGTTACCGTAACTGGGCCGAAGGAGGCTTGCCGAATACCGTACTCGGCCCGATATACGGGTGCACCTTCGGCATATAGGTAGAGCATGTCCGCCCAGCCGAATGTCGGCAGCCCACTACATTGTAACTGCGTCACAGGCTGTGTCATATATCTATATATAGTTCGGCCCGTAAGGATGCTTCCCATGCCCTGCTAGCCAAATATTCACCGCTTTCAGCTCGTGAGAATGCCTCCCATGTCTGCAAAGCCAAATATGGACCACATGCTGTTTCTATTTCTAAATTACGTCAAATGATACGGAACTCCCGGCTCAGAAGCAACTCCGACAATGGCAATCCGAGTACTCGGCTTCCCGTACAAGCCGGTAGTGGATAAATAAGTAGCAATCGACATTTATACAATTTGACAAATAATATACGGTTATCCGTATTACTACATATGGTACATAAACAACAGTAATATTTGATTTATTTACCTGGACCATCATCTAGACTCTGTCTCGGCGGTAAAATATTCTTCCTCAGTGCCTGAAGGTTCTTATGAACGACGTACGGTGGTGGGGGTGGCGGGGGAGGATGTAATTTTTCGTAAAAATTCATCGGTCTATTCGACGGCCTGTCTAATAAGGGTTGTCTGTTCAATCTCTTGTCGTAATACACGGGTGGATGTTTATGCATATTGTTCGGCCGGAATTGCGGCAGAATGTTCGGTAGGTTATCGATACGTTTGTAAGCGACATCTGTATGCGGTCGCGGTGGACGATTGTACTCGGGATTACCTAAAAATATATAATGCCAACAAAAAAGATAATAAAAACGCTAATTTCGCTATTTACATCTGTAACAGTTTCGTTAAATAAAATCTTACCGCTATAAAAATGTCCAGGTCTGGGATCCCATGGCGGTCTAATAGGCCTTTTATGAACAACCTCCTGTTCCCTAGGCGGCGTTAAGTCACTAGGCAATTGATGATAGACGGGCTTGGAATTCAACTGCAACACTTCCCTGCTAGGCTGCGAAGCCGGCATCGGCGGAGGCATCAAATCCGGATACTCGGGCTGCTTGTCGTCGGGAAAAACGACCTTACCGCCCGTCACTTTGACAAGAGTCGCTTGAGGATCATCGATTTCGAGCTTCTCGTCCATCACTTGTCCGGGTATCTGTTTATTTACATCGTTAATCGGCACCCCGATGGCTAACGAAGCTTCAGAGTTCTTTTGCGGCTGTATCGTAACGGCACTACCGACTTCCGGAAACGATAAAGTTCCTTGTAGCGTGATTTCCTTTTCGTTATCATCGGTAGCTGTACCGTGACCGTAGTACGGTCTAAACGGATTGCTATCGTACGGAATCTCTTTTATCGCGGTACCGTAGTACTGATTGTTGTTGTCGCCGTTGGTTCCCAGCACGTTTTGCTGGTTGCCTAGCACGAACGAAACGGTGTTCTGATCGTGCGCTATGTGGATGTTATTGGAACTAGCGGGTTTTTCGAACGGCCTGGGTGGTACTTTTTCGCTGTTCAATTTTTCGCGTAGATTTTGAGTGGCAACTATGATCGGTTCGCGATTTTTAAACGGTTCGTAACCGGAAGTGGTCAAATGGTTCTCTCCTAGTGGCAGAGATGTCACTCGCATTACAGGTGTAGGACTAGTTCTGACTGTCGTAGTTGTAGTAGTAGTAGTTGTGGTAGTTAAATCGTCAATATAATCATAGTAATCTGTGTTATTGTTGATATGCATATTTTCGACATTCTTTGTTGGCTGTATTCTTTGAGTGGTTGCATTAACATGTAACGGTACTATTTTTGAATCATTGTTAGTAGTACTAGCCACCGGTTTATTTTCTACGGCTATATTATCGCCAATATCTTCGTATTCGTAATTAAAATCTGGTGAAGGTGTCAAAAAAGGTCCCGCATGTGAATTATGTACAGTGTTTTTAGTACTAGTGCTAGTACTACTTGTAGTACTTGTTGGTTTTTCAGTTTTTTCGTATTTAGGAGTACTGGTAACTTTCGTAGTTATAGTAGTCGCTATGTTATCTTCGTAATCGCCAAATAGTTGTTCGAAAAGGCTCATAACTTTTTTCGTGGTGCTACTAGGAGCTCTTGACGTTATATAAATCTTTTTGGGGCTTTCGGTAGTACTAGGAACAAATTTAGTGGTAGGTTTCTTAGTTGTAGTTGTAGTGGTATCGTAATAGTCATCGAAATCTTCAGAATATCCTACTCCCATTGCTGTATTGAGTAAATTTACAATTTTTGTAGTTTCTGGCCTTTTTTGTGTTGTCGTAGTAGTTTTTTGTGTCGTTGTAGTACTTGGTGTAGTGGTGGAATAAGTAACTTTAAAGTACTTTTCAGTGGTGTAGTAAGTCGGGCTGACTAGAGGTTTTTTAGTTGTTAATTTCGATGGGTAATCTTTGTGGTTGTGGAATTTGTTCGCGCTACCCTGATATTTGGTACTTGCGTATGAGCTGGAGATCAAGGGGTATACGTACTTGGCCGAATTGTATTTTACAGGTAGATTCAAAAAATCATGGAAGTTCGGTATCAGTTGGTTCACGTCGCTGGGTCTGTGACCGCTTAAACTGCCGTCTTTTCTGTCTATGTTAGATTTGTCGTAAATATTACTGCTAGGTGGTTCCTCTTCGTAATCGTATAAATCTTCGTCCATTCTAGAAGAGGCTGTTTTTGTAAAATCTATTTTTCCCGTTAACGGATCTTTTTCTACGTAAAAAGGTTTCCCTCGGTTGAAAATGTTCTCTGGGAGATTGTAACCTGGTAGAACTAAAGGTTCTGGGTCAGGAATTTCCTCGGAGTCTGATCTAGCGGCTTTTGAAGAATCCTAAAAAAGTGTTATCATAGTTATCTAGAAGTACTTTGGGTTGCATAATTGATTGACATTGACAGATGGCATCTTTTTCAGCGATTTTTAGTTTATGCTTTGTTCGAAATCGGTTTACTTACTTGTTCTAATTCCTGGCTATCGGACAATTCGTAATCGTAGTAGGGGGATGATACATCGGTAAAATTTCTGGATGACCCGTTGCCTAAGAGAGCGGCGCCATAGGCTCCCGATAACCGACAAATTAATAATAGTCCGGGCGTTGAAATGAGGATCTTCAGCAGCGTTTGCAGCACGTAGTTAAGATCCATTATATCTGGAAATGCAATTATTTTCGTTTTAAAAATTATAACCATCAAAGGTAATACCATGAGTCCTCCAAATTTAATTGATAAAATTTAAAAGAATGATTGGTATTTGAAGAGATTATTTTTTGTACAAAAAAGACAATAAATATAGTTGGAGTAGGTAAGTGTTTATTAGACTTACTAAAAGTATTTTTTAATTTTATAGTAATGTAATTTCCTTTAATAAATATGGCAACAGCGTATTACTATAACAGACGGAATGCGTGGGGCATGCGCAAAATCGTGGCGACATATAGTAGATTACATAATTTCTTTTTGGGAGTTAAGATTTGAATGGTTGTAAATTGTAAGTGTACAAGTGATAGGAACTGATCTAGTGCTTTGTGCTTTCTTGTTTTTTTGTTGGTGTCCCAGCCCAGCATTCCTAGCCAGCAGTAGTAGCAAAAACATTAACATTGTCTACATTCAACCCATTTACATGTACATGATTTATCAGCTAAAAGCAGAATATAATATTTTTCTGCAAAATGTAAACAACGCTACAAGGAAAATTGCTCATGTATAAATTCAACAACTAAATCAAAATATATTATTTTTAAAGGACTTATATCAACTATTTTGTTAATTATAAATATTATAATATAAATATTTGTAAAAAAATAATAGTTGTGTATTAATAAACCTGTTGCTACTCCAAAAAATTATTGTTTATTGATTATCAGGTATCAAAACTATTTGTTGAAATATGTTCTATTGCTCTTAATCTTTTTAATATGTTCTTATTATAGTTGTAAATAAAAATCAACACTTTTTATCCGTCTATTTAAGGTGATTACAGCACCCCCTTATAATTTTCGGACAAGCTTATCTCAAAAAGTGAATTAGGAAATAATATCTAGAATATGCTTATATTTTGAAATTTTAATTATTTCCAATTTCCAAGAAAAAAAATCAAAGGGCTTTAAATTTTGAAATATCATAATGAAAATAAATGCATTCCTCAACAGCAGTATTCTTAATATAATCTCCAAATTTAAGCTCTTAATCTCTTGTAATTGATTTTTTAAAATTGGCCGAAATTAGTGGCTAAAACGCCTCGTTAAGTGCTGCTTTCTTAGTTTAGATCCAAGTAGTATATCTCCTTTTAACAAGATGTTATCAATGAGTTTCTTAGCGAGGTCCAAATAGATACCTTTAATGTTAGCCTAATAAAGTTGAGGACTGTATTAAATTAAGTTCACTAGATATAAAGGTTTGTTTTGTTTTTAAATTTCTTGTTACTTAACTCTACATGTGGTGTTATAATTTAAAAAGTAGTTAACAATATATGATTAAAAAATAAAGTAGGTATTCATATTTGAAAAAAGAACTAAATTTACTATTGATGAAGCAGAGGTTTACAAATATTCTTGGTTAAGAGTAAACGTTATACTTACTTTGAAAATTTCTAGTTATTTTTGTGAAATTTTCAGGAAATACCAATAATAACAAAACTTATGGTGGAGAAACCTTAATTTTGTTGTAAATCTATTTTTGATAATTTTTAAAATAAATTAAAAAAAAAACATGTATGCACCATTCTGTATTAAATCTAAGAAAACTTGCTACTTTTCATTCTAATAAATATCTAGTAGTTTTTAAATGAGAGGGTTTTCCACCTTTTTTCTTAAATATCTCTGCAGAGTGCTGCCTTGTTGTTGTATAAATTTAAAGTTCTTAATATTCTCGAAATACATAACAAATATTTTGTAACGGTACATTTTACCGTTACATCGATTTCAAAATTTCTGTTATTTTATAACCTTTTTATTCGTAATAGTTGTTTCCACCTCTAGTCGTCAATATAAAATAAGTGAAATAATAGATTTATATTTTTGGAAGGGGACAAAACTTCAATTGGTAAACTTTTCCTCCTTTTATTCGAAAGAGATACAAACTATTTTCTAGAACATTCAAGTTTTAAAAAGATGACATTTATTTCTTTTCTCTCAGTGGTAGGCATGTAAATGCAATTTTATATTAGAAAATCCTCACAACAGAGGTCAGGTTTGTTCTTAACTAAAAACAAATCTATCTTTTTATAATCTAAAAAAAATGTAAAAAATTAGTAGATGCACTTCTTTAAATATTATCATGGTACTATCATGAGTTTCCTTCTATTCTTTTTGGTCTTTCTGGGCCACTAAGACACTAGTCAGTAACTGCCCTATTACTAACTGAATATATTTGGCTGTAGCAATACGCTGTTGATTTTCATGAAGCATCAGAAAACCACTTTCTTATGTAGGTACTGTTCTGTTATAACAGCTCTTCCTTTGGTCAATCCTTCGGGTTCTCGAAGTGATAATTCTGGATGTCGTTTTAAAAAACATTTATACCACTTTTCCCCTGGACCATTATTTGTGAAGGGAGTCTGCCTCTTGTAAACGTTAATAATTTTACTATTTTTTTTCTTCATCTTTTGTAAGCACTGTATCCCTACGTCCTTTTATTTTGTCTTGTAGAGTTGCTCTTGGTTCCTCAAACGTCTTACTTAAATTTTGTGCTTATATGTATATTTAAAAAGTTTTCGCTTTTCTTCAATGTAGTAGATTTTCCTAATTTTTAATGATTTATGTATTGATGGCCGACTATTAGGGTGTGGCCGAAGTTAGGCACATTTACCCCTATATTCTGTAAGAGAGAAATAATCTACCCTAATCCACTAAAGAAATTATAAATTAATACAAACGAATCGAAATTATCAACTTCACCTGTATTTATTATAATTTACAATATGTTAATGTGATCGTATGTAAGAAGACCTAGAATTCCTTTGCGTAGGTGTTCATTTATAACGGAACAACACCATCAATGGTTCACGGGCATATGGAGCTTGGTCAAGGTCGAAAAATAACCTTGCCATAGACTGTGTTGACCCACTTTTCAGTACTTAGGTACTATATAAATATACTACGGTCTCACCATTGTGCGAGACGGAATAAGGATGTGTGTTTGGGCGAATATTACTCGCCATCTTCAGCAGGAACGGCGAATTCTAGGTCAGGCAATATCAGAAAGTTATCTGTTGTTTTTTTATGACAGGAAATTGTTTTACAAGAACAATGCATTAGGTATGCATGCGTTCCTTTATGTCCGGTTATACAGTATGTTACAAATAAAAGGAATACATTCGTTATTTGTAACTCGTTTATTTCCGGAAAAAACCCTGAAAGCAGTTCATTTTTATTTTCAAACGCGCGTTCTATCAGATATTATTTTATATTTCTAACGTCATCTGTGTGAAAGTGATCACAGCTTGGTTTATTTCTCACATACCTACCAACCAGAGATAACAGAGATATAATCATTCATTGATAAAATATAATATTCACGATGCCAACCCAACAAACAATAAATTGCCGGGATATTGCTGGCTTTTTGCTGTAATTGAAGGGAACATGACTACGATTAAAAGGTAAAAGCCTACTTTTGGCCTTTCGATAGTGGCCCCGCATTATGTTGTTGATGATGGCCTTATGAAGGGTAAGTAACTGTATTGGGTAAAAGCATTGTAAAGGTCAAAAGGTTTTTAACTGCTGCAGACCCAACTCCAAGGGCTCTGTCCCGCGTTCATAGATAGAGACGATGATCGCTTGTTACATACTAAACGAGTGGGCATGTACTATATGAGGCCAGTCTCGCATTGCTGGTATTCACTATTCAGTATTCATTGTAACTTTTTACTTTTACATGTTAATTTAGAATATTTTATGAATAATTTTTTCTGTATTATTATATTACATAGTAGAAATAAATAAAATGTCTACAATATTCTTTATTGAAATGCCTTCTGTTTTTGTATAGAATTTATAGTTCAAACGGTACTACTGGTCAAAGAGGCACTATCAAATATCCTGTCTTGTCGTGTGCCTGACACATGGCCTTTATGCAGCAGTCTGTATTATTATGGTAAAAGGCCAGCAATTTCCCGTTAACTTCCCATCAATAGGCCATTAATTGCCAATATATTTATTTCTAGACATTAAAGAGAAAATGGAGGCCTATTAACTAGATTTAATGGTCAAATGGCTTCGGCCCGACTCTCGGACTTTTAATTATAAAAGTTAAATGGGTAACAGTTAATTCGACAATCGATACACGCTATTTGTAGGGACGCGGCGAGGAGATGAAAGGTGAGAAGTAAGAGAGGAAATAAAAGAAGAATTTTATGCAGATACAACTTATTTTTATCAATTAATAAATGAGTACAGATTCACATTCAGGAGGTTATGATTGATAATCTATGTTAGTTTTAATATATATGGTATTTTATAAACACACAGAATAAACAACCTGTTTACAAAGAACGTGTCTGTTAAAAATCATATTTCGTGTCCATCATATCCCCCAATAATCAAATATAAATTTCAATACAAACACCTTCATTTTCTTTACAAATCTAACTGACAAACCCTTAAAAAAATTTTTAATTCCCATTTGATATTTCTTTTTTTTAAATATTCTGATTTTCTTAAACAATTTTTAATTCCCAGATCATGACTAATCAAACGTTGATTAATTAATTTTGACAACAATAAATACGTCATAATAAATTAATTTTGAACCAGATATATTATGTATTGTACATTAAATGTACGTTTTTTCATTATGTTACAAAAAATCATGACATGCTATATGCACATTCGAATTGTCAACGTGTTAAGCCTGTCCATGTAAGAATATTTGATCCGTTTATCCATGCCCATATAAAAATATTTGCATATTTATACCTTAAGCCTGTCCTTATAAAAACATTTGATTCCTTTATCCCTTAAGTCTTCCATATCAGAATATTTAGTTCCGTTACCACTTAAGCTTACTCATATCAAATTATGACTTTTAATAATTTTTAAAATAAAATAAACGAACGAAAAAAGTTAATTTCATTTTTCCCCATCCGAGAATCGAACTCACAGGACTATCTATTCTTTTATTTTTGTTGCTTTAATACTCGTAATTAAATTGACTTCA